ACTACTTTGACTCATTTGACTCTGGTGGCCCATGGACATGTTTTCCATGCCCGAATTGACTGCCATCATGCTGCCACCGCCGTGACCAGCCTCGATTTTTCCCAGTGTGATACTGCTGTTTTTGTATTCCGCCGTCATTTTCTTCCACTCCTCAACCTTGGGAACACCGGCGCGTCGCACCGCGTCAAGCGGGTCGGTCACAGCCTGTCCGCTCTGCATGTCACGCAACTCGATGAAAGAAACGGGAATCAGGCCTGGGCCGCCGAGACGACCGATGGGTTTGGCGACAAACCACTCCGGGTTGGATTGGGCGATGACGATAATGGCTTCGCCCGCCTTCGCGTCTAATTCATCGGGTCGCTCGGCCTGAAAATCGTACTGGACGATGCCATAGACCATGGCACCTTGACCCTTGAGTGCAGACATCCTGAATGCGCCGTTTTTGGTGATGGGAGAATCTTGGGAAAGACCGCGGTCGGAGAATCCTGAGTCGTGGTCCTTGGACAGGTCGCCGGAACCCCCACTATCCCTCTCGTTTTTGCCGATAACCTCGAAAAAGGAGACGGGCACAAGCCCCCTAGCACTAGGGATCAGCGGATTGCACGCTTCGTACCAATCCGAATCGTCCTCCCTGCTGATAACGTGAAAGAAATCTCCCTTGCTGAATGCCAATTCCTGCGAGGTCCCTGGCTCTGGTTGGTAGTCGTAAAGCGCTTTAATTACCTGGGAAATGCGGTCAGCCACCGCCAAGCACGAGTTCGGAAGTGGGACAAGGAGGGGCGAAGTCAACCCAACTGGCGAATTTTGCGCAAGGAACTCACTTTTTTCGGGGGTAAGATGGCAATAGCGGATTTGGGTGTAATAGAGATATGGTGATGTTTGGGATCTTTCTCCCCCTTTAGAGATCGTCTAAAGGCCTGTTTTTTTGGTGGGGAACCCGGATTAATTTAAACAGATACATATAGGTCATTCTTCCGAGGGAAACTCACCTTCATGGTTAAAAAAGAGTTAAAATAAAAAAGGGTTTAAGGGAGAGAAAAAGAGGAGGAAAGGAGGAGCAGCTTCTTTTTAGCATGTATACCTTGACCAGCGTAATCCGTATTGCGGTTCCAACCACGCGGCTTGGATGATTGTCAGGGCCCGCTTTTTGCTTTTTGGGATTTCTTTGTAGTTGACGGAGGACGGAGTAGACACGGAATCGACAGGTAGATAATTCATTTAATTAGGAATATTCTATATCTTTCATCTTAGACAATGAACCTTTTTTTTAAGATGGGTATGGTCATGTCAATACAGGATGACGCCAGCCTCTACACAAGTAGAACCTTGGAACCTATCCAGGTTGAGCCTCGGAATATACATCTACTTCAACACACTACTATGTAGATGTTTTACTTGAGGGAGCCTGTCGAAGCCTGGCTCTGGAACAAGAAACCCCCAAACCTCCCTTGGAATGTATTCGAACACGCCATCCAATTCTGAATTTGCCATCGATTATCAAGATTACAAGCCGTATTACTTGTTGCCGCCGTTGGGCAGACAAATGATAATCCACCGGCGGCTAGTGCAACATAATCACACCCTACTAGACTAAATACGACTCTGTCCGAGTCTCTCCACTTGCCTTATATGTACTTAGGTACCTTAATATATTTGATAGACATACATTACTAGTACTGCATGTTCCCAAGGTACCTATCTAGTGTATTGAGGTAGGTACGGTACATACAAAAAAAGGTACAAAGAAGGAAAAAGAAGAAAAAGAAGGATCTTTGCCCCTCATTTTCCCCACTTATAACCATGGATTGACCATACCTAAACCGCGGATTCTGACGTCGCCCCAAAGCCGAGTCTTTCAAGATTTCTCTTTTGGGAATTTTTTCAAGTAATTTTTTGGAAAAAAAAAATTATAATTTATTCTGTAGTATGTACCTAAGTACATATATGTATGGAGGTACTATATATACTCGGGGAATCTCCACACAAAGAAAAACGGTATCAAAAACAAAGGGCCTAGAATTGGGGACTGAATCAAATGGGGAGAATTAATGTGTTAAATATTAAATATTAAATTTGAAATATGAAATATTTATCTTTTCGAAATTAAAATTCTAGGGCTGACCGTGAATGCGCGGCTCCTGCAATCTGCCATACATGTACGGAATATGCAGAGGAAGTTTCACCAATTTCACTAATTTTATGAATTTTAGCAAAGTTTAAATAATAATAATAATAATTATTATTATTATTATAATAATAAGTGAAGGCACTGGCAAGCTGAAGAAACTCTGTTTAATGTCGATCATCGGCCACCTTTCTACAAGACCTTACTCTCTGTACGTAAGGCATGGATGGTGCCGCTTTCAAGGTCACATCCATGGATGCCTGGGTCTCGACCAAAGTTGCTAATATCGCCTCACATGGACACATGTACCTCGTTTCCTGGTACCCAAAATTGGCCTTGGTTACTACCAGGTAGGTACGTGGCGACTGCTGATCTACAAAGTCAAGAACTCTACATATGGGATATATGGGATAAGTGGTGGATAGATTGGAGTAAGTATTTACTATGCCAATGTGCAATCATATCTCCCCGTCAGACCGAGTCACAGAGCATATGTTTCGCGCTGTGGTGCTCCAAAAAAAAAAAAAAAATCCAACCAACTCCAGAATCAGACGCCGCCGGGGGGTGTTAGTATCGTCGCAATTTCACTGGCAGTCCTGTGAAAAGAAATCCGGAGGATGCCGAGGAGAACGAGAATGAAAAGGCAACGAAAAGAAGAAGAAAAAAAAAAAAAAAGAAATGTAGGAACCCTCAAAAGGATATGGTATATCCATATGTGGGCGTATCTGGTGAACGCCTGCCGCTTTTGAAAATACGCCAAAAAAAGAAAAAGATAAGTTGCCCTTGACTGAGATCCAATGGTTTATGATCCTCGGCTCAAGGGATGGAAAATGAGAACTGGGTTAGATCTGGCCTTTGATATCGACGACACGGTGGGCGGCTGCTTTGGCTTGGTCGAACAACGAGCCTGCTTTGCCCGTCAACAGCCGTACACCCCCGTTCCTCTCCTCCAGCAGTTCTTCGGAGGAGTGGTCTAGAACAAAACGGGCGGTCTGCTCGTCGGACTCGAATCCAAGCTCTTCTGTGATAAATCGAATGTTCACATCTGGTTTGTATCTACAAATAAAAAAAAGTCAGGGATGAATGCTTGGACAGAACAGGAGAAAGTAAAAACACTTACGCTCTACACATTGTTGCAAGAGCACTTAACCGCTCACGATCGACAAACATGTCCATGAGGTAGGCTCCCATATTCGGCGTATCAAGGTACAACTGGAAGAAACGATGGTAGTTCCCGAGTGCAAGGGCAGAGCGGACATCCAGGGCATGCTTCACGGCCGGGTCTTTCTTATCTTCTGCAGTCACATCGGCTAGTGCGTCGTTCATCGCCGTCCAGTTTCGTGTGTAAATGAAATAGAGAATACGATAGGCCTTGAATTCTGTCGGGTGTCCTCCCAGTTGTTGCGCATAGAGCACTCGTAGCTGGGTCTGGCACTGGTTGTACTCACCAAGATCCCCTTTCTCCAAGGCGATGCGCGCGTGGATTTCGTACACAACGACAGTGAATTCATTTCGGATGCGCTGGACCGTTAGGTCTTGACGCAAAGACTTGAACTGGTCACAGATGTAACCGTAGTTGCCATCGTGCTTCCATTTCCTCTTCAGTAGATCCAGGGCTTTTTGCAGAACCGGCAGGGGACGAACACTGTCCGGGTTGGGAGCAGAGGTCAATCGGAAGTAGTTCTTCTCCAAGGTTTGGCATCGCCCGACAACAGGGCCTTGATCCGCATCGGCAGCATGCATCGGCGATCCTGCAGGAGAAGCGGGAGAGGTCCCGCTGCCACCAACTCCCTCAAAACGCTTCCTCCTCATCTCCAAATTAGCTTTGGACTTACTAGACTGGTCCAGTGTTATGCGTGGTTTCTTCTCTGTGGTAGGGTGAGTAACTCGATCTTCAAAACGATTGCGGTTAGCTTTTCTCCATGGTGGCGATCCAGTTTCGGAATGATGACCATCAGTTGACTTTCGCTTCCGTGTGGCATCCCCCGGAGAAGCTGGGTGACTGGACGCCCAGTTTGAAGAGCTGGGGTTGGCCAGGATTTTGTTGCGTTCATTTTGCACCATAGTTTGGGGCAAAGGTAGCCTTTCCCAGTCGATCAATCCCAACTTGTCATTCTGGGCCGCCTCTGTAATAACGTGCCTCAACTTCTCCTGCATTTCGGGAATGCTCACGCTTGCAACCTGGTTTTCGGGAGCAAAGCAGCGTTGCACATACGAGCGTACGGGTGGTGGGAACTCCACTCGTGTCCGGGCTTCCGTATCCGGTGATGTCGACTGTGTGGGTTGGTGAGGAACGGTTCCGTTCGTTGGCTTGGTATGATGGGCGAGGCTACGACGCGCTTGGACTGGAGTGTATGCTGGAGCCGCTGTCAGGTTATTAGCCTCCTGACACGAGACCAGCGAGACTCGAGTCGAATTATTTTTCTTACCGGCTGGAGCAAATCCACTAGACATTGTGCCTGGGGCGGTAGAGCGCCAAGGTGGTACGCTGGAACTCATCGTAGATGCAAGATTTGGAAAAAACAAAGAAACAGGATGAAAGGAAGTAAAGAGCTACGAAGGGGCAAGACTCGAGGAACGGGCTGGAAGAATCAAGTTTTGAGCTTACTCCTCGGCTGGTACTGATTTGAGATGAAAGAAAAAAGGATGAACGTTTATTTTCCAGATGAGATGGTCACAAGCCCCGGGGGAGAGTGAGAGTGAAGTGCACACAGACTCGACCTGTGACGGTGAGCGTTACTCGCTTACTCACCGGACCTTTGTTTATCCGATCGTCCCGCGTTATCGCGTTATCGCAATCGCCTTGCCTTGGATGACATACCTCTCTATCTCTTTATGGATCTCCTTGATGTTGGGAGCTGGTTGAACCTACTAGATGTTCTTCAAGTCGCTGGATCTGACTACTGCGCTCAGACCCTTGCTATTACCCGATGAGATTCTTCTCTTTGTCCAGGATGCGGTGGGGTTGTATGAAGGGTAAGAGCTCATGATGATGCTCCTAATGCGGGGTGCTGATTAGAGGCACAGGAAATACAAGATCCAGAATTACCAAAATGGCCATGCCTATCTCACATCCCACAGAATGTGCTATGTTGCTGCTGAGGACCCGCGGAAGTACTCAGTGGCTATTGATCTGAAAGAAATTGATCGAGTAGAGTCTCAGGTGCGACATGCATACATCTTCCTTTCGAACCTTTTACTCTCGAACGATCACTAACAGACCCACGGATTCAAGGCTGGCTTCCTGAAATCATCTCCGAAACTCACCATATACCCGAAACCCCAGAAGAAGAAAACCGATAAGTCGAGGAGCGCAACAGCCAGCCCAGCTCTGGCCCAGCAATCGGCCCTTCATCCGACGCAGTCACTTTCTCACCTCCCACAAACCAACCTTCCACAGAGCTCACCATCTCCAAAGCCAATGAATGCCACTTGGATCTGTCCCATATGCTCCTTCTCCAATCCAGTTCCGTCCAATTTCGACCCCGCAACGGCTAGTGCGGCTACAAATTTACCTCCTTGTCTCGCATGTGGTATTAAACCACCATTTACGACCATTCTCAAAGCAGCTATTAGTGCTGTAACAAGCCGGGAGTCTCAATTGCCGAGTTTGGTTGGATCACCGGCCATTGCACAGGATACAAGCCAATCAAACGCCAATGCGTCTATATCACCTTTGGGGCCCGAGGGAACTGTCTCTTGCCCACGATGTACCTTTGTGAACCATCCATCTCTCGTGGAATGCGAGATTTGTGGAGCGCCTTTATCTGGTGGCTCCTCAGCGAATGCCAATCGGGTAGACTCTCCTGCGCCGTTATTTGAGCAATCGCATATCGCGAACACGGAAGTTAGTGAGAGCATTAAGCTTTCATTTCGGGCAGGTGGCGATAAGACGTTCCATGAAAGACTTAAGGGGGCATTGGTTCAAAGAAAATGGCTTTTGCAGAATGCGCCTCCAGTGCCTTCGCCGTCGCAAGGTGCCTCCTCGCCGGGTTTGCCTTCCCCTGCCGCTAGCATTGAAACTCCTCTACCCTCAGCACCACGACCCCCGGAGTTGGTATCGCGGGATTAGAGCGCCGAGGGCTGGAAGCCCGGAGGAAAAACGAACTTGTCATAGGGAATGCCTTTGAAGACCTGGAGGCTTTAATGGCCTCTGCCAAGCAGATCGTTGCGTTGGCTGAAACTCTGGCGCGTGAGTCTGGCATGACTTCTAGTGAAGGCTCTCCAGAAACAAGTGCAGTTCTATCTGAGTCCGCCGCGGCCCTCGGGATGGTGACAACCAAAGACATGCTCAATTCCGGATCTGAAAGTCTATATCTATCAGAACTTGCGCGTGACCTGGCCGAGTATCTCACCGATGACCGCAAAGGCATTTTGCAGCGGGAAGGTGGAATTATGAGTCTAATTGATCTCTGGGCTGTCTTCAATCGGTCCCGTAATGGAGTAGAATTGGCCAGTCCTTCGGATTTCCAGAAAGCAGCGGAGCTGTGGGAAAAGCTCAAATTGCCAGTTCGTCTACGACGATTCAAAAGTGGCCTTCTTGTGGTGCAGCGATATGACTGGAGTGACGAGAAGACCATTGAAAAACTTCAGGCCTGGATGGAAGAGCTCCGGCGAATTCCCCCGACGATCCGGTTCCCTGGGATTGGTCCCTATTTGGCCGAGCTGTTACTGCTCAAGAAGCTGCGCATCGGTTTAAATGGAGTGTCGGGGTGGCTACTGAGGAGCTTGAGATGGCTGAAGACCGGGGCGTTCTCTGCCGAGAAGAAGGTATTGAGGGTCTACGTTTTTGGCATAATTATATCTCGTCCCGTGAGTATGATGACTTCTCCCGCCTTGTTATTTGAGCTGGGCGATATCATATGAATGTATATACAAAGTTGCATACACCCCCATTGATACGAGGTGGCCGTGATCTTACCCACGCCAAACATAATAAAATGATGCATGGAACACATTCGGGGTCGGAGGATGAACTATGAACTGGTGATCCTAGCTCAATAATGTGTATCCATGTAGGCCTTCCATGCACCAGGACTAAAGCGTATTGCCAATATCCCGTGAATGATGGCACTACATACTAGACCTACAGTCATTAATGCATTTAACTACTTATGGCGGTTTGATGATACAACAAAGTTGACGCATTGCATGCCATTCAAGGGAAATAGAAACACCGGGGAAGCAAATCCATCCAATAGATATCCAAGGCACAGATACTAGATACGGTGGAGGTCGTTTATTAACCTATTCCGGTATGTCCTACAATTATCAATCGAGTATAACTATTGCCAACCTATGTATGTGTGTTGTTGAGCACTCACACATAGCCCTAGGTAACCTTCCACGGTTAGAATGATTTACACTCACTGGCCCTTAGGTTTGCGAAGTATGCACAATTTGCCAAATTTATCACGAACCATACACAGCCCATGAAATAGTGGAGGTACGGGACTGGTAATTCATTCTCATAATTTTCATTTTTCCATATACAGTTGCTTGATATGTACAACCGCGCATATACGGTCAAGCAAAACTTCGGTGATTGATATAGCCTTTGCGATATCGACCTGATATCCAACCCAACCCGCTCATAGTTCCTGAGGTTGACCCATACAGTCGACGTAACTGAAAACAAAAGCCCTGGAGGATTCCCAAGGAGCTTTTGATAAAGGAATGCTGGTCTAAACTTGGACATTGGAACATCAACAGATTCACAGCTATAGATCACACACCAGGCTCTAAAGGAATTGCGCTATAGCCTGTGTTCCTTATTTTCATCAAAGGGGTATATTGAATATTGGTCGTCATTCCATATTTGGATCTAGTTTACAGCATTCTGATATCCCGCAAGACGAAAACGGTAATAGTAGGTAGGATACACGAATTTGTATGGAAGGGGAAAAACAAAGGCTCATCAAACTTGCAAGACAATTTCCTATTCTAAAACTCAAACGCTAATGACTAGCTTAGAATAATTGCAAAATGGAACCGAAAACTGCGCCGGTGCAGCCTACTCTCGGCAACGTCGATCTGACTCAAACACAGTGAATCCATCAATTCCCCGCCCATCATTTCCGCCGGTGCGGAAGAACTCGGTCATTACCCCGATGGCGTAACACGTTGCTGTGGTTGCTGTGCCTGCGATGAGCATTCTGCGGCCTGTTTTGAGAAACGAAAGCTCGGATTTTGCGGTTGGTTTGGGCTCGGGACTAGAGGATTCAGTTTCTGAAGGAGGCTAAGTCGACCTGTTAGGAAACCACCTGAATAGACAGTTCTACTGTCTACTCACCTCACTGGTGAGTTGCCAGGGGGTCCGGCGTATGTAGCAGCGGAGTCCATTGAGTCGTGGCGGAGATATCGAGCAATTTCGGCGTGAATTTCTGGTTCTTCGTCTCTTGCGGTATTTGAGAGGGTGTGGCGAGAGGTGCTTTGGGTCTTTCGGAAGACAAGGATGTTGCCTCCACCTGTTGCAATTTCGTAACCATCTTCCTGCATCTTCTCGAAATAGGGTAGGAATTTGGCAGGGTTGTGCAGTCGAGACAGAATTTCACTTGGCCTTCTATCTTCATCAACGCCGAAGAATGACTCTGCGTGTGCAACTGAGACTTGCGACGTCGATGTATCGAGAGCCAGAATATGGAATTTAGAGGAAGGTATTTGGGAGTCTGCTAGTTGCTCTCCTTTTTCAGTGGCTAGGTTCTGGCTTTCGAGAATGAAGTCACCAACGCGGTCTTCGGAAGCATCAAAATCCAGCGGATTGGCTTGCACCTTTGATTTCAAAGGAGTATAACGAGAGCGAATTTTACTAGCATCCAGGGCGCTCAAGTCTTCATTCTCATTGAGGCTCTCAGTACCCACCATCTCAGAAATAAATTTTGCTTCTAATTCATTCCCCGGTGTGCAATCGACAACATTGTTGGTTATCCTGGATGTATCAAGGCCAGTGGGTACTTCTGGCTGTGATTGATTTTTCTCGATTGAAGCTGCGTTGCAGATAAACTTGGCCTCTAGCTCGCTCCCAGGAGGACAATTAACAGAGGTTTGGGCTTCCGATTGGGCAATGTCCTGACTGGCTGACTCTGACTCTGACAAAATATGGGCTTCGATCTCACTACCTGGAGAGCCCCCAAAGCTTTCTCGAGTGCCTGTCATGGCAGCGGTATCAGTCGTTTGATGAACAGGACCGTCAGGCTCAAATTTGAGACTATGGAGATCAGAAGAAAGCTTTGCATCCACCTCGTTGCCTGGTGGGCAATCAATTGAAATACCAGTTTGGTTGCTCGGAGGTTGTGTCTCCAATGCAGACGGAGAACTCTTGACAGATCCGCTAGGAAAATCACACATGAATTTGGCCTCCAGCTCACTTCCGGGGGAGCATTCCACATTAGTGTCCGCAGTTAAACCGGCATCCAAATTCGGTCTATTGGTGTTTCCGTTGACCTTGGATGTGTCCGGCCGAGGCTTTGCAGAAGGAATAGATTCAGAAACAAACAATGTTTCCAATTCGCTTCCAGGAGGACAATCGATGTCTACAGAGGACTTTCGTTTGGTTTCCTGGGGGGGCTTGAAGCCTGTCCTGTGCATCCTGAGAGGTGGGGGTTGAGGTAAAGTGCGCATCTAGCTCACTTCCTGGGGGACAATCAATGGTTGACTGTGCGCTTGACGGGGCTTCGGGGCTTAGTTCTGTGTTTCCGGGCTGGAACTGTCCATCCTCGGCCAAACCGGGGTTGTGAGCGAATTTTGCGCCGACCTCAGTGCCTGGGGAGCAATCAACCACTTTATGAGAGTTGGTATCTGCTTCCAGCTTGCTGGATTCAAGTATAGTGGGCGGCGGTATCGGCACCATGCGCCCACTAATAGGGTCGTACTGCAGTCCAACATGATTGGCATCACTTCTCTTTTGCCGCTTGTCTACTCCCGGTCTAAGATTGCGTGGCTTTTCTAAACTGGTAGGTGACTCAAGGAAACCATTTAATGAAGTGTCGTTCTTGCCGAAATTCTGAAACGGGTCCAATCGGCGCCCAAAGACGGCTCTGTAAGGATCTGCCTCTATGTACTTTTTCAGCAACTCCATCCGTTTGTGCGTCTGCCCTAAATCCGAATTCCAGGGCCAACTTTTTCGGTCATCCGGTAGGTCGGAGAAACTTGATTGAGAAAGCCAAGCTGTCCAGCTCCAGCTTGAGTATGTATCGTTGGGGGTAGCATTGCTGTCACGGCAAGTTTCGGGCTTTTGCTGATTGTATAGAGGGTATCGCTGATATCTGCCAAAGCATCGTGAAATACGGTCTGTCTTGTCTCCGTGGCTGTTTCGTGCACATCGCCATATACTCCGATTTGAAGTCTGTGTAGCCACTAATTGGGAAGATGGTGGGCGGATGACTCCAGGCCCCAAATTTCGGATTGACATTGCAGTCGAGGAACTCATGATGAATCCTCGAGTTTGTATGTGAGAACCCAGGGTGTTGTTTATTTCTGGCAACTTATTCTAGCACTATTGAAGGTCTGGTGATTGTCGCAGCGGTCAATGGCTGTGGCGATCGGGTCCACTTATGGGGTACACTGATCAGAGGAGTACTGATCCTGGCCGAGTCTGTCCTGCAGAGGCCTTTCAACAACAAAAATTATTGGGATAGATGGGACAATAAGATTGATTCCCGATCTTCTCGGTCACAGTTGAGAAATAAATGAAAAGGGATGAGGATGAAGGATGGAGTGAAGAGAGGACCAGAGGGTTCCGGATCACCAACAGGGTACAGCCAATCAGTGACCGCGGCTGTGTTTCCCCGCAAAGTTACATCAGCAGTATTGACGTCACATTTGGATATCCCGTCCATCAGTTTCATCCGTGCTGTTTGAGGTCACTCCTTTGTCTTTTTGAAAAGATATAGGGGAAAGCAAATAAAACGAAAAATATAGCCGTAAACAGAAATACGAAAAGTGAGAATCCCAGCCAGTACCTATGCCTAGGCCACGCCTAACCCATTTTTGGGGGTTAGGAGAGCATTTTTCTTTGGTTTTTTTTTTGAAAAAAAGAAAATCGTGGATTAATTAGATCGGACAGCGGCGGCTGGGGTTATCTACATGTTTAATCCGTGTTAACCCACTCAGCTACTGGGAGGACTGGCGGTTGGCAAGAAGATACTGACCTGAAATTTATACAAACAAATGTTACCCAAAGGGGAAGGTGGGTTCATGTCACGTGTCGATGCTTGGTATCATGTGCAACAGGACCTTTCCACACAGCTTAGAGCCAGTAGCTGATGCCGTGAGCTTCATCCCTTATGAATCGCGTTGTCTGTCATCCTGGCATTACAGTTCGCCCGAACCGCCAGTGGCCAAAACTTCTGAGAGAGAGAGATATCGACTGTGTTTCAATGTGAGCGCCCAGAAGTCGTGGCTTGTGGCTGTATATTTCTTGGTTGGGACATTTACTGGTGTAGTATATCTATTTTCTATTTAATGTGGTTCTCACTTTCAAGACACGCAATGCAGACACTGGAAAAGAAATGTTGCTTGTCAATATATATATATATGAGTACCAACACACAAGGTGTATACGAAGAGGGTAATACTTGGTGTAGGAGACTTCTCTATGTATAACCTTTGAATCATGCTTTTATTCTAAGCCAAGTACTTTGAAATTAAAAATCTTTATAGCCTCGTTATCGCATCGTTGTAGAGTGCTCCGACCTCGGGAAGTAGTCAATGTGGGGATTTCTAATCGATAACGTCCTCCAGGGCTTATCCCCACAGAATCCCCGGCCAAATAATTCGAGCGACTCTCAACAAATTCTTTTCAATCCCATTCCGACTCAAATTCTACAAAATGTCCAAGCCAACACGTACCCCCGTCAGCACTAAAGGTGCACCCGTCCCACCCCCAATCCTCTCCCAAGGTATGGTCGTGGGTAACATGGTTTACTGCTCCGGCCAGTTGGGAGTAGACCCAACCACGGGTAAAATGGTGGAGGGAACCATCCAGGACCGAACAGTACGAGAAACACGCAGCGTCTAATTTGTGATCTATTTTCTGATATGCGAACAGCGACAAATTCTACGCAACCTGAACGCCGTCCTAGAGGCTGCAGGGTCGAGTCTCCAAGACGCAATCAAGGTCAACATCTTCCTCACTGATATGGCTGATTTCTCGGCTGTGAACGAAGTCTACGCTACTTTCTTCTCAGATCCCAAGCCGGTAAGAATTCCGTGGTCAAAAGAACGAGATTCGAATTCCACAGGGAATAAATATTATCCCGTCTGGAATTCGTCTCTCTTCCTCTTATATTCCTGAAAAAAAGTGGACCATTTCTCACTATTATCGGGCCTGGCCCTTCTAGGTGCGTACTTGCATTGCCGTAAAGTCCCTCCCTCAGGGATCAGATGTGGAAATCGAGTGTTCTGGCCTGGTTACCAAGGCTGGCAATGGACGCAGTTCTAGACTTTAAACAGGACTGCAGGGATGACGATAACGTGGGGAATGAATAGGGCAGACAACTCCACTTGAATTGTGGCATGGCTCTTTTTGATGGTCCAACTCGCGTCACTCTCCACCGGAGGCGAAGAATCTAGTGTGCGAGAAACACCGTCACGTGATTAATGTATAGTTTACGGGCGGACTCGAAATATTACGAAGCACTTTTGCCTTAACTATATGTAACTTTTGTTTAGCACCTTTCCATAAATACAGGCTGAAACCAAGGATGAAAGGTGGAGATTAGAGCTGCAGCACTCAGGAACAGGGCTAGCGTCTGCACTTGTCCATGGTACAGTTTATAAACCCCTGGAAGTTTATTGTATAAAAGGCTCTTACATACTCCGTACGGAGTACCAGGAGCATCCCATGGACGCTTGATATTGTTCATGTCTTCAAGGAAGTGAGTCAAAATTCAAGCTGACACTGGAGTCCTAGGTCAAACAAAAGGAATGTGGCTGAGTCAACTATAATTAAACCCGTGGAGCATTTAGGGCTCCCGCATAAGCTTGTATGCTTGGTTCTTTGTTCCTGCATTTCTAAAGGCGTTTCGATCTCGAGGATCCATGCAGCATGCAGCCACATGCCCCTGAACAAGGCTATAGAGGCAAGGCCTTGGGAGTAATAAAAGAAGAAGATTAAAATTTAGCGAAGATGATGAGACTTGGGTTTCTCGGCTTAATCAATTTTACACCATTTGGCATTGGTTGGCACAACCTCAAACGCACTAAGAATGCTGAGCACCCGAAAATGACGGCAAGAATGAGGGGAAATCAAACTGCCAACTCCTCCATTCCGATCGGGGGCACGTGGTGTATTTTATCATCTTTCAACCTTGAAAGCTCAATCAGCTTCAGATCCAGGTTTTTAGAATACACTATGAGCAGGTGTTCGTGTCAGATTAATTTGATTAATCTATTATTCGGGAGATAAAACCTAAAGTTTCGATTGAGTGTGAAACATGCTTGATAACTGCCGGTTTTTAATGACCTAATTTTGAGCCAGTGCTCATCCCCTACTTCTATGGTGGATTGAACTAGTCGTGATGTCGCACAGCATATGATTCACAAGTTCAACTTATATAAATGTATATGTCTCATGAGACTCCAGAATGGAAGAACCAACTTATAGCCCACAGAATGCCGGATAGTGTTTCTAACCAAACAAAAAGCACTAGTCAGCACACCCCATGCTGATTCTATTTCCAAGGTTCTTTGTTGATCGTAAGCCCGAAGGAGCTAAGTGTGTAAGACGGCCGAGCTTAGCCACTAATGATAATTATGGTAATATGAGCCGGGTGTCTGGCGAAAAAAAAAGTCCCTAAAAAAAAGCCTGTGTATCGCACACTTTATGAGGTGGTAAAGAGGTCCAGGGGCCGTAATTGGGGCCACGCACTTTAGGGGGATTCTCGACACGCTCAGGTACGCGTGTGGGAAGGACCCACTTAGTTTGACGCCTCCGGGCTAGACCTTACAACGGACTAAACTTTGCTGGGAATTGTCTTTGGACTTGCGCTTTTCTTTCCTGTTTTTTCCTTTTTTTATATTGTGATCCGCGGGTTGAGTGGGTTTAGTCCCGACCCCATGGAATTTATTTGATTTAATTTAATTTCTTTTCGTCAATGGTCTCCGGGGCTATTGATCGGCTTAATTGAAAAACGCTTTTCAATCCCAAGAATGGATTTTTTTTTTCCGTCAGGGTGTTCTTTTTTTTGGTAGAAGTTTCCGAAATTAAATACTGCTATCATTGTGTTACACTGCTCATAGACTTAATTATCATTTTAGCACAGCCTTTTATATCTGTATTTATACTCCATATTTCCCGAATCTGGCGTTGGATTGTAATACATATGTGCGATATTGTAGGTTACAAGGTGAGTACCTGCTCAACTTGGATTTGAATGTTGATTTACAATCTCGTCGTAATCGTTGATTGTCGACCCTGATATTCGCAATGGCGGGATTGTGGTCTAGATATTATTGTTGCACAGACGAACGGCGCAGCGAGAAAAGAAAAGGAACATATTATCAAAGTACCTGTACATCGGCCTCTATACTGTATATGCCAAAGAGGGCTCTAGTCAGATGTACCGGTACATATAAAGCGATCGTGGACCTATAGGGAATAGGCTCATTCTTTCCCCGATAGACATTCATTATCCATCCCGGCTTGGTGCATGGCATGACCCATCATTGCCGTTATGTACGGAGTACAAAGTACTAGCTAGAATGCCTTGTCTCGGCGATATCGTGCAGGTTAGTGTTCAGGGTAGCTTAGCTACACTCGTTTCAGATAAGGGCTTTGGGATACCTTGACTTGGAAGGTGCTAAATAAGTTATAAATAAGTATGGTACATATAATTTCTAAATTTCTAAACAGATGAGGATATCCATGGATATTATTTAAACATACAGCATTGTAAGCAAGTAGGATTAATATCAAATGCAAAATCAACAGATATCACAAGCTAATAACTAAATGCTCAGGGGCAACCGAAGTGCGTGGCCACATCCCACGCACCTGCCAAACGCCCGGGCCGGCGTATTAAATACACTAAAATCCACTAAATCATGTAATTTACCGTAAATTACCCTTGTTGACGCTGCTACAACGTGTGCCGCCCCCCCATTCCACCTTTCTCCTCCCCCCTAATGATGGAGTGATCCTCCTCTTCTTCTCTAATCCTCAACTTCATTCACTCATTTACTCCTTTCTTTCTCTCCCTTGTCTGTTTTTGTTTTTTTTAGCTGTGCTCGCCTGTTGACCCTCAACGGTGTTTTTGACCTGGGCCAATCTCCCCTTGCATCGGTCGCCCGCATTGCCTGTTTTCCCTTTCTTTGATCTCGTTGCCCCGGACGGTTCTACAGAAAGTCGTCGTTCGCTCCTTACAGCTTTTCTAAGCCCACACTCGTTTTTCACCTTTTGGGGGGTCGTTTCAGATTTATCGAAATCCCCCTTTCCATTCGTTTATCGTCGGATTATTGTTTGCGCCTATTCGGTCTCATCGGTTGCCATCGAGACACTGGATACTCTTGAGAATAATCTTGAAATTGTGAATTCATCGCAATCGTCCGAATTCTAGTTGTGTTGGAAAGTCGAATATTCCAGGCGATCTACCTATTGTCACACCCCCTGATCTTTCATGAGGTGTTGATAGACGGTGTTTATCGCATTTTTGTACACTGACCTTGGACTTCCTCTGAGCTATCACGTACAGAATTGTTCAATATGCGCCCCGACGCCATCTCCGCTCTCGCAGCATTCCTCGCTGTAGGCGGTTTCCAGCTCGTCGCAGCCCAAGATGCTCCCGAAGCGCACGCGCAACGGCCCCGATGGTACTTCCCGCAGGACGTCAAGCGAACGATTCGCAGAAGCGCTGAGCCCGACACTGGCTCCATCCTCGATACTGTACTCGAAAACTTGAGTCCTACCCAGGTTATTTCATCCACGGCTACTCCCACCCCCGAAACCTCCGCCCCGGCTCAGCCCCAGAAGGGACAGGAAGTCGTTGTTGTGACCATCTCGGTTGACCCCAAGAACCCGGAGATCACCCACCGTATTACTGGTACCACGACCATTGGCGGTGAACCAACTAGTACCACTACCACGACTACTCAGCAAACGGAGAGTTCAAGCATTGAGAGCACCACCCAGAGTAGCTCCCAGGCCGCATCTGCCGAGAACACCACCAAGAAGAGCTCTGAGGCTGCTTCTACTGATGCGGAAACCACGAGCAAGCAGGGATCGGTGATCGATTCATCAGCCAAGGCTTCGACTACGTCTCCTTCGACCACGTCTTCTTCGACTACGTCTTCGACTACAACCTCTAGCGCCGGCCTGCTTGATGATGTGACTTCGGGTTTGGGAAACCTCCTCGGAGGTGATTCCACCTCCTCAACTGCGACCACACCTTCGACTGCCGCATCCTCGACTGCCGCATCCTCGACTGGGACCACATCCTCGACTGCGACTGCTACCTCCGACTCATCGGCCAAGGTAACTTCGCCTGCTTCTTCTACTACTACTGCGTCCTCTAGCGATAGCCTCCTTGATGATTTGACCTCAGGATTGGCCGGCGCTTTGGGCGAATCAACAACCACCAGCTCCGTCTCCGCGACACCTACTGGCACCTCTAGCGCGAACAAGCTCAGCAGCGCAGCCTCAAGCACGACAAGCTTGGCCTCAAGCACGACAAGCTCGGGGTCAGATCTCGCTGACCTTTTGGGGCTGGGTGACAAGTCTTCCACTGGCAACAGCACAAGTGTTACTGTGTCCTCGGATGCTTTGAGTTCACCTACCATCCCAGTTAGCGTGCCTGCTTCCGCTACTAGCTTACCGTTGACTACCCCCACCTCCGGAACTACAACCGCTGGTGATGTCGTCAGTAGTCTCGTGTCAGGCGTGGATTCCCTGCTCGGTGTCACCTCTACTGCCACTGGTAGCACTGCCTTGATTCCGACTGCGTCTATGCCAAATGGCAGTCTTTTGCCCCCCAAGTCGACTGGTCTTATTCCTGGCCAGGGAGGTACTAACACTGGTGCCATCCCCACCCCGACCAAGACCCTGCCATCAGTTCCCGTCCCACACTCGCCCGGGTCTGAGCCCACCTCAACTTCCGGATCTGAACCTGTCTCTAGTTCTAGCACCGCCTCGGCTCCTTTGCTGGGCACTACCACCGCCGCCTCTGTTCCTGGCAGTGGCTCTCACGAGAGCTCCAAGGTTCCTATCCCGACCTCTCACCCAGCCTCCACTCCCCTTCCCTTGTCGACTTCGTCAACTTCGACGACTTCGACGACTTCGACGAGCGAAGAAGCGAGCACGGCCAAGACCACTGTGGAACCTCAGACTTCGACGGAGACGCCTACCCCCTCCACCTCCAACGACAACGACTGGATGCCATCGACCATCCTTATCGTGCCTACCGTCACCGCCACAGAGAGCTCGACCTCCGGTCAAACCGCGGAGCCCACAGCACCACCCTCGCTCCCTGGTTCTATCACCCCGTCGAATGAGGTCACCGAGGCTCCGTCTGACTCCATCTTGCTCCAACTTGGTTTCAACAGCCAGCTGCCCTGGTCCTTTGTTGCAACCACTCCCTTGTCTTCGTCGCAGATCTTCAACTACACCCCGCAGGCTATCGAGAACGCTATGCCAACTCTCTCTGCCAAGGACAGCCCAGTTATGTTTGCTATTGAGCCATACTACAACTGGCAGTCCACGGGCTATAACGCCACCATTGCTATCTTCTATTTCCCTCGTGACAAAGTCGATGCTCTGAAAGCGCTCAAGGTTAACCCCAATTCTGCTCTCTACAACCAGGCTAGCGAATCCATCCAATCCTTGATGACGATGGTTGACCCTACAATCCCCCTCGAGTTCTCTGGAAACTACCCAAGTGGTACTAGCGACTCGACTGGCGGTGGCAGCAGTGGTGGCGGTGGTGATGGCCCGGACAGCGGTAACAACGAAAACACCGATGGCTCTGCTGGGACGTCCAAGGCTAAGGCTAGCTCTGTTGGAATTGGAGTCGGTGTTGTGGCCGGTGCTGCCGCTTACGGTGCGGGTATGTTCTGGGTTGCCCGCCGCTACCGCAAGAGAAAGCAGCTGCACCAGCGCTCTAGCTCGACCGTTGAGCAGATGAGCCAGGGAGGTTCCGCTGCCGGTTCGATGTTCGCTGGTGGCCGTGCCCCCAGCCATGGTAGCCGTGGAACTGCTCGTTCGCAGATGATCAGCGCTCCCGTTATGGCGGAGAACTCGTTGGGATGGAACTAGACATGCTTTTGACAATACGACGTATAAACCACTCCTTCCATCACGCCCACCTTCTTTTGGACCCTAAGACGACAATCAGAGGGCACCAGGGCTTTGAAGACCCTTATTTCTTCCGAGATAATTGCTCCTTTGAATGCGCCCATGCTCTCCCCACTCTCCAACAGAGGCAGGGACAGAGAGACTGCACAAAACTTCATTTTCATTGTCCATCATCCGCCAAGGATTTACATGTCACATATCACGTATCTCTTCTTTCTGTGCAATTTTTGACCGGCCACTTTTCTTCTCAACATGATACTCTGAGCGACGGTTGGTCGTCGCTGCGTGTGTCGCGTTATCATTTCTTTTTACTTTCTTGACATATTCCCCCTTTTGTTCACCAAATATTTTTTTTATCCCTTTACTCCTTTCAATGGCACTGGGACAACCAAATTTGGGACGAAATCTTTTCTCTACTTTTGGCTTCCACTTGAAAGCTCTCTCTTATGAACTATTGGCCATCCAGTCTTTGGACTTGCACATTAATAATGGATTTAGGTGGCATCTTTTTGACAGCCAATGGCTTCCCCCCTGCCCTTATTTCCTCTCTCTCTCCTTGCCTCTCTCTCCCCATCACCCCCTGTCTCTCTGTGTTGTATCTCAATTGTGCTTTTTTTGTTTTTTGCGTTTCTGCGTTTTTGTACAGATGTATGAAATGTGTCCAAGTGCCGTGTGGCCTTGTAGATGTGGACCCGAGCCTGTCAATGAGACGAGTAGATCTTTTTTCAATCTTGCCTTATAGATGTAAATTGTCGTATAAACTTGCTATGTTGAAGGCAGGACGTTTTGGCATGCATTATAGATCAATGATCAATGGATTTGGAGTGAACTTGCGACTAATACATTGAGTTGGATGAGAGCGGATTTATGCCCTCTGAGATCGTAGAGAGTCACTCATCCGTAGGGCAGCATCCTTTTGCTCCCCTCTCAAGGAGAAGTTTAACCACTTCAAGGTGGCCCTGCTCTCTCGCCAGGTCAATAACACAGCAAGCCGGAGGTGAAGACCAATAGCGGAACAAGTTCTTCCCTATTGGGGAATTGATATCAGCCCTCGTCGAGGAGTCTGATCATCTCAATATTGCCATGTTTTGCTGTGAATTGAAGAGGCGACATCGAAAATCCAGTGCCTGCGGCATTGATATCAACCTTCTCGTAATCCACCAAAAGTTTGACCAATGATAGACTGTCCTTTTTCGCTGCTTGGATAATGTGCTGCTCCTGACCTCGAATCCGTATTCTTCGGGGAGTTCAAACATCTCGAGATCGCCCCTGCCCCCTGCAATCTGCAGGCCGTAGCCAATCTCAGAAATACCATATGGCCGAGTTCGAGTATGCCCTTTGTCTAGGAGACACCTGACCACATTGTGATCCTGGAAAATTGCAAAGTTCAAAGCCTCATAGCCGCGATTTCCAAGCCCAGGTGGGAAGATATCTACCCTAGAGGCGGGAAAGAAGACGGGGAACATACACATTACAAGGAGCTGTTCTCAGACAGAATTGCGCATCCGGCTCTTCTAGGTTGCATGATCGGTTTCCTCGAAAATGGACCTCAATCTAAGAGAATAGAACCAGTTAGTCTAACCAGCAACTTCCTATCTGATTTCAAACAACCCGTGAATTGTCTGAATGGGCTGCTACATCTTTCGTATTTTATCCTATTTGTTAGATGGAGGTTGATAGCTTCATATAACTACACTCGTCGAACCCTAAGATAATAATAACCAACATAATATTTCTGTTGGGACATTGGAATTATACAGAGACAAAGGACACGCTCTTCTGTTGGATTGCCAAAAGTGCCATCTTGTCCAAGTCCAAGTCAGATAGCTCTTGACCAATCTGTTTCTGTACCCTAATAACCAAATGTTGCCCATACTGATGCTCAAAATCGACACTGGTATCCCAATCGAAGAGCGGCGATCTCTCACGGAAAAAATATGGTTGACCATCCTTCTTAATGAGGTCAAACTTTTGCCGGTGTGTAGATTGGTGAGCTGTTACGAATTCCCCTGTAATTGTCACTGCAATACTACAGTGCCAAGGACTCATAGAAAACGAATTCTTCTGCGGGATAAGGGGACAAGACAGCTTCGTCTGTCCCGATGACGGGTGGATAGAGAGACGCAGTGAGTCGGGATAAATTTGGCGTACTAGCTCCGCATACTCCTATAACCTATGAGATTAGCCATCTTGTCGCTTTGTAGGTTGCTCGGAATGACTTACCACGCCGCGGACAATCATGGCTTTTGCAATAGTCTTGATCCTCTTCTTATATTGTTTAGGACCAGCACAATCTCTAGTCACCGGGCTGAATTTTAAATCAACTTTCATGAACTTATCGTATCCTGCATTAAATCAGCCATGAGACAATGATCCAACTCAAAAGTCATACACGTACCATTATAAGTCCTCAGATAATCCTCATCACTTTTCAAAAACTTATCGACATCAAAGCCTGGCCGTCCATACCGTCGATGAAGTTCGGCCCTCGATAATCCACAAAGCCTCACATAATCTGATTTGGAAATCTGCGCGCCAGTATAAAGACCCAGCATATTCATAATACGATAGAACTGAATACAGGCATATCCCTTCTCAACAGCGATCTTCCGCAGTCGATTCCCATATTCCCAAACCTCCTCATCAGAAATTCCCGTAAGATCTAAAACGCAGCAATCGAATTAGCATCTGATCCAGTATCTGACATCTAAATTAATGGGAAAGGTGAATCTCACCATTGTAGCAAATCCCATCCGTAACAATAACCACAACCGCACCAGGCGGGTAAACAGCCTTAATATCCCGACAGAGATTCACCAACCGCGCCAACCCAAGCTCATCCCCTAGATCCGGAAGGGCACCTAGCACCTTGTCCATACGGTTATTACTCTTCATTGGAAATGCAGGTAAAACCATAGGAATTGCCCTATTTGCTGCGACGTGTGTTTGCACGCGCGGCGTGAACGATGACCGACCCAGCCATTCTCCGGCTGCGGTTGTGCACTCATGGGAACCATAGAGCTCCACGATATTCAGTATTTCCTCTGCCCTTAGGCGGGCTAATGTGGGACATATTTCCGGTGCATCTGGATGGAAGTCGGTGGTGACTTGAGGTTTGGAGGGGACTGGGTGTGGTTTCGGGATAAAGGAGACTCGTGTCTTTGGAGTGGCGGTGATGCAGTCCAAAGGGATTATGTTTAGGTGAGCCGAGACTTCAACTATTGCCGTCGATAGCATTTTGATATAGCTCATGATAGACCGGAGCAGGGAGGTCGGAGTTAGGGATTGGGAAGGGGTAGATTCGGTATTCGAATGTACTCGTGATTTATAAGGGCGATCCTCTCGTGTCTTGTGTTGGAATTCAGTGGCTTTCAATCGCCACTTTGATCTTGGTTTCTTACGCACATGGTCTTGGTGTGCATTCGCCGTCCAAACCTCCATGTGCCCCCCCTTCCTCCCTTGCTTTCTTCCCCGTTCTTTTTCTACTTCTGGTAACTTTTCTTCGGTGAATTTTCTTCAGTGGAAATTATGTTATGGGACAAAAAGCTAAAATGACATTGTTTATTGTCTGACCACACGTGTGCGTGACTTGAAATATGATTGTTCTCAAATGTCTAATCCGGACAATTGATTGATCCCTGGGGAACAACAATATGATTACTATCCATTACAGGTAAATTTACTATTTGAACAGTCAAAGATGTGCTCCAAAAAAGAGAATTCTATTGCTATTCAATGGACTGTTTATGCATGATCTGATGCAAACAGTTTCCCAATTAGGCTAAATCTAGGAGACGCTTATACGAGAGATCGGGACACGGGGGAACCAATTAATGTCTGAAGCAAAGGATTTAGGGAATCAATGTAACACACCGATGTAATATTCAAGACTAATACATCACGAAAAGTCAAGAGAGCCGAGGATTTCTAGAGGGAAGCTCGACGCTAGACTGGCCGATCAACTACTCGCTGCTCTCTGTACAAACTATAGCGTGTACCAGTAACACGAATCACTGCAGCTGTTGGGAATGACATATCGTATGTTTAAAATTGCTCTAGCTTCATGGCCTGACTCTATTCATGCCAAGGCCGGTGAGTATTTCCATCCCCCAAACCTCCGTCATTCACATGGAGTATTATATCCAAGTATTATGTCCGGAGCCGTGGCCAAGAAACTGAGCTCCTCTGTAACTCCGACAACCTCTTTCAGGCAGCCCCATTCATTCACAAGAAGTATGAAGCTTCCTTTTCTCGCTCCCACCGATACTCCAACCGCTTCGCGGTCTCCATCCCGACTTCGATACCACCGTAATGCGCCGAAATAAACTCCAACATCACATCAATCCCTGCAGTAATTCCAGCAGATGACCATATCTCAATCCTAGGTAGCAACGACAGGCCATCAGGCACCTTATCCTCGGGAACAACATCACGCAGCCACCGTTTGTTGCGCTGCCAATTCACGTCGCCCGTTTGTTTAGTGACATCATCGTAGCGAGCTGAATTGGTTGTGGCCTGGAGTCCATCTAGAAGCCCAGTCTGCGAGAGAACATGGCTGCCCGTGCAAATAGTAATGATGCTGTGGCGGACGTAAGGCGCCACAGCTATCAGAAAGTCCTGAACTTCCTGCGTGTTGGAGACTTTGACGTCATCGGATGTAGCATCAGTGTTGTAAATACGGTTTAGACGTGTCCCAGGGCCGCCTGGAATAATCAATACATCAATGGGTTTGATTTCACCACTGCCATCGTCGGCAACTTTCCCCGCTTTTAGGGAAGAGATCACGTCAGCGAATGTACATTGTGGCAATATTTGCTGGTTGAAAGCTGTATTGATTTTTGAATCGGGTAGATCAAATCGCCATTTTGCCTTGGCAGGTGGGATTGGTTTCACCGAGACTGGGTCGAGAGTTGCGGCTGATACAGTCAGGGTGATGGCTGATGTGTCAGGGTGCTGCGTACGGATGTTGAGAATGTCCAGTGGGGCTGCCACATCCAGCAATTGGAACCCTGGGAACAACGGAAGGTGGTAATGGAGAGGTCTGACGGCCATTTCGTGTAATCCTCCGTTGGTGGATGAAAAGGCCCGTGAGGAGACGAGTTGGAGGAAGCGTGGTAGCAAGGAGGTCATTCCGAAACAGAGCGGGTCACCCACTTTTGGTTGATTCGCAGTATTCCAAGTTCAGGGATGTATTCATATTCAAGTTCATGCGCGGACAAAAGAAAATAGGGTAACGCGCTAAACAACAAGTAAACTACGTTATGTGGCTTAAGGGTGATACCTAATTCAGTGCTTGATATTCGTCATCCTGACGGGTAAGACAAGTAGACACACAGAACAACTCTCTATGGAAATAGAATCATGCATGTAGAGTAATTTTAAGCCCCCGAGAAGTGAGACCCGACTACAAACAACGCTCCAGTCAAAATGCAAATACCCCCAAATAACTGCGCGTACAGGTAATCACCCCCTGTAATGCGATCAGCTGCCCTGCTATGTACGGCCCAGTCAAGAGTGGGATGCTATTGATCGTGGTGATCATGCCAACACGTGTGCCGGATTTCTCCGGGTCTTTGGATCCAAAGTACGCATTGGCAGCGGGCAATTGACTTTGCGCACAATTGACCAGTAGCCCATAGACTGTAGCCCAAATGAACATGCCAACATGAGTGTGTACACCAATCCACCCTAGAATGGCGATGCCGCAAGGGATGGAGACCGCAATGCAAGTCCTTACTGCGCCCAGCCATCGGTCTGCCACAAATGCAGATGCAATGCGGGATGGAACACCAACACCGTTCATGAGGATTAGAAGGAGAAGTGAGTCAGATGCCGTGAAACCGGTGTGAGCCTGGGCAAATTGTCTAAGCTGCAGATGTGGTTAGTTGCTGTGCCGCCAACCCAATGTGAAACAAAACAAAACTTACATAAATATATGCAAAGTAAATACCTTCGAAGATCAAGAATGAGCCGATCGAAAAAAGGAGGTAAGGACGTTCACGGAACGCACTAAAATCCACCCAGGGAGGAGAACCCCTAGGTATAATCCGAGACCTGGTAAACTTGACAATTATAACGCTGTTAAACAGGATAATGGCCGCCATGACCCGGACGGTCCATGCGAAACCAATATTGTTCAAACACTTATAAGCGACCACTGGGAAAACCATGCCCCCAGTCGCCGCCCCGCAAGAAGCCAGCGAGACGGCCATCACTCGCTTGGAGTTGAAGTATGTCGCATACAGCGAGATCATGGGGCTAAAGACGAGGCCGTGGCCAATTCCGCTGACTATGCCTTGCGCTAGCCAAAAATGCCATAACTTTGTGCCGAATGAGGTCGCCAATGCTCCGGCAACCTGAAAGAAACACCCAAGAGCGATACATTGTCTCAGATAGCCCGCATCCATTGCTCGGCCTGAGAAAGTGGCCAGGAAATGAACTAGGAACATTTGCACCGCTCCGATCCACGATGCATTTGCTGGGCTGACTTGGAGAGTTTTGACGTAGTATTCCTGGAAAAAGCCGTATCTATATCATGTCAATGGTTGCAATTGACATTGGATGTGACAGGGCTCTCTCACGATGTAATATAGCCCCATACATTGAATACAACCAGGTGTCCGGTCAGAACCTGGGTCCATGCCACGAGACCTCCATCGGGAATTTCATTATTTTCGACTTTGCGGCCTTCATCTTGTAGGCAAGGATCTGGGTAAACAAATAGCGGGGATTCCTCGGTAAGAGTAGTATAGGTAGTAGGCGACGTTGCGTAGGATGAACCAGCAGCCGTCGAGGATGCTCTGGCGGCATTCTGTGATATGTTTGGCTGGCCCATATTGTTTGGGAAGGCTGCCTTCACAGAGAAAAAAGAAAATATATGCCAAGGTTTGGGAAAACAAAGTGGGCGGTAGGCAGTATATGAGAGGTGAATTCTAAAATGTGACTCCTACGGTAGGTGCTACGTACCTTGTGGAGTCGATGTACCCTGTAGAAATATTGCAGATATGTTCTAGCTTGTTACGAATTACAGGTACTTCTGCAGGTAAGAATGCATATATAGTGTATAGGGAGCTTAATAAAATACCGTAAACTATATGTCACTGCAATCCAATGTTGATCTTGACGCGGAGGGATAAGAATAATATCCGAACACTCCCACATTTTGCTACACACATCCGCCACTTCCTCTACATTCCATTCACAATGAAATTCGAATACGCTCCAGATGAAGTGACTCAAAAGGTTGTCGAGGTGTTAAAGCGGTTTTGCTTGCACTCGAGCAAAGATGGCCATCAGAAAGACATCGGAAGGGTGTTCGAGTCCGTGCCTGAGAAGCTGAAGATCAATATCACCGCAAACCAGCCGATAACTATGGTCCTGCCTGCATTTCCATGGAAGAGCCCAAATCAGGACAAAGTGCTAGGATATGGGGCTGATCTAGGAGAAGAAATGGGTCTGGCGAAGTTGAACCACCTGTGTGAGGAAATCTCAAAGGTCTACCCTTACGGCGCACGCCTAATCCTCATTTGTGATGGACCAGTATATAATGGTATGTCATTTATTATTTCAATCCAGCAGTCATATAGTTATCGAGAATGAAATAAACAGACTGACGGTGTAGACTTGGTCGGCGTTCCCGACGACGAATATTACGACTATGGCATTGAGCTGCGCAAAATCGCCCAAAAGAAGCATTTTTCTTGTATCCAGTTCACCCGTCTGATGAACTTGCTGGGGCTAGGAGATGGCGAGAAAATCTCCAAGGAAGATTACCTGCGTCTCGTTTCCACCTGCAGGGAGAAATTGATGTCACCCACATACTTCGATCCGACATTTGACATTGACCATGAGTTGAGGACCAATCCAGATACCGAAACAACATACCAGAGCTATTTTAGTCGAATATCAGAGGATCTCAAATGGGCCAAAGGATTTGATCCTCTTGTCGCGGCCAACCCGACACTCTACGCGACTGAGGTGTCCAAGATGGCCAAAACCATGATCAACCGACTCATAGTATGTTTCATTGCCATGATATAGTTGATTTTTTTTTGGCTTTTCTAAAATATGACTCCATGGCTCACTGTTTTCTTAGGCATATGAAGCCGTCATCAACGCCACACTTGGAAAATACATCCGTCTCTCGATACACCCTTCATTGGGGCGAAACAAGATCTCTATTCCCCTACTGCGGCAAGGTGATATGTTTGGTGATATGCCGTGGCATGCAAGTGTGGCGGTACTTTCAAATGGAGAGATTAAGACTGGAAGGTCTCGAGAATTTCGCAAACTGTACGAGGTTGTTATGAAGCATGGCCGACCTTATTACTTCAGAGAGCGGAGCCCGATGTATGAATGGGAGACAGAGGTGGAGTTTCAGCATGACTATGATGGTTTGACTGTGAAGAATCCTTCTCAGAGGGTTCAGAGACTTGGTAGAGATGATCGCTTGAAATTGGCTCGCTTGATTGTGCAGTATCAGACCAAGTCGGTTCGGGTGGAGGGCTTTGAGGTGGCAAATGACGTGTGACTGTTTTGAGTTCACTTGCTCCCTTGTGCTAATAATATATGCTGCTGGAAAAAGAATACAGAATCTAGTGGCAGAGTTCCTTGCGAGAATAATACCAAGTGATGTAGAATTGAGGAGAAAAAGTAAGTTGTGCCTTCCAAATTAGGAAGGTGGGTCTACCACAAGTTCCTCTATATAGAACCATGGGTCCTCCAGACAGACTAAACTCACTCTATTTCGATCTCAATTCTGTTGTTTGGACACTATAGAGTTGGCTTGGTCACCAAAGCAAACCTTTCCTTGATGATGTCCGAGATTCAAAATTCTGAGTCCAACTCTCAAATATCGACGCAAGGCCAATGAAAGCTATCAAGTTCGCGGTAGGAAATCGTTGTTTGTAACTTCAAGTAATTGGAGCTTTCAACATATAAGCTTGATCCAATCCTTTTGCGTTTGAATCAAAATCGATCGTAATTCGACTGTCACACGATGGAAACATCTCACCAATCCCTAGGTAGTGGTATTTCCTTGCTGGGACAATCAGCATAATCTGTACTCTTGACGACGTCAAGATCATTACCTAAACACCGTCCCATTAGGTATATAAACGAGCCTCAGGCATTCGACACCAACAACTTGGCCATCACCCACAGATTGCACATTTCGAAGAAGTCGAGAAAGAGGTTATTCTAAAGCTGGTGACTGCCGCCGTCACAAACTCCAATGTGCCCATAAAAAATCCTATATTGATGTATAACCAAGCTCCGGTGGGCCTAAGAAACTACAGAGGCCAGGCTATTAGGCGTAGTTGGGGATTTATTTTCTAAAAGGCGGTTTCTCCCTTAGCTACGAAAGTATCACCACATCCTGCAGCAACTGCTCTTTGTGAGAACCACCGGCTATGTTGTTGGTCTTCCAGAGCCGAAAATATAATATGCCATTAAGACAGTCTTCACTAGCCAAATCTATGACGGTAGAGATTGAAAAAGTGTCCTTACTACCTTCGAGGTAGATGAACAACATGACCATATCAAAAAGAATGAAGGATAATGATGTAGATTTTGTTTAAAAATGTTGGGTGTAAGTGCATAAGCAACCCCAGTGGATATCAGTAGGAATAGGAGATCAGAGAGTGGGAAATGATGTGTACAATAAGTGGTAGGGGAGATGCGCCCATACGCAAGAGAAAGAAACAGCCGACCAAGGCACTTCAGTCAAAACGATGAAAATAGAAGATGGTGTATTTACCTCATTCCTTCTTCTTCTTATCCGACTCCGATTCAGACTTTCCAAACCAGCTCGTCAGCGATGCAATCCCACCACTGCCGGCCTGCTCACTTGACTGGCGACGGAGCTCACGCGCTCGTTCCCGCTCAGCCTTGTACTCGTCCCAGGAGATGTTTGCCGCCGCAGCAGCCCGAACTTCCTCTTCTTCCCGGGGAGGGAGGCTCTTGCCTGGCAGCGGGCGGACGGCTGCTTCGCCGCCGTAAGCACGAAGACCAGTGCGGAAGGCCCATTCAACGGCCTCGTCGACGGGATGATCGAAAATATAGGGGAGGAAGGGGACAACAGCAAGACCCAGCTATAAAAAACAGTCGTTAGCATTGTATTTGCCGATTTACGTTTTCGACCGGAACGAAACGGTACATACCCCGATCGGCGTCCAAGTACGAATAAATGCACTCTTGACACCCTTCACCATCTGCCCAGAGTAGCGGACAACACTGTGGATTGTGAATGCGGGTAATCCCATACTCGCGATACTCTGGAACACAGCGCGCTTGGCCATGACCATGCGGTAGTCCTCTGCAAGCGGGATCTCGGCGGTTGGCCAGTCTGAAACCCCACCCTTGGACTCGGCTTTGTTGCCAATCATCATATTTCCCGTTGCCATGCCCTTGATGATCTGGTTCTGCGAAGGTTGGCTAGCATCCTTGTATGCCTCGCCGGTGGGAGCCAGTGCCTTCCAGTTCCGGAGATAGGCCTTGTAGCCTTCGTGACCAACATCGCCTAACAGGTATGTCCAGGAGATAGTGTAGGCGGAGCGCACAAGCCATGGGTGTGCAATCGGACGGAAGGACTCGCCAATGTCTGAGGTGTATGCGACATAGCGATGGGCAGAGAGGAGGATCGTGCGGATACGGTTGGCGTAGGCGGCATAGCGGAACCCCGTGTCTGTGGAGTTGACCGAGCTGCCATCAATCGAGGTGCCCATCGTTAGTTTCTGGTTTTTTTTTTTTTTGTCTTTGCTTGCTTTTGGCGTTGAGTTGATGTGCTCAAGATGAGTTTGCAGAGTAGTATGTCATCGACTCAAGCCGGCGAGTACCGTTTGATGGCCTTCTTTTTCAGGCTCTCTTCTCCCCTCCACCTCTGAGCACGCGACAACAATTTGCTTGGGACCGAAAAATAATATAGAAGAATTAGAATTTCACATACTATTGGGAATAAAGGTCATCGTAGAATTCGTCCTCGCGATCAACCAACTGTTGTAATTTTGCGGGGAGCTTCTCTCGGACTACAGGCTTATCCAACAACTCCTGCGGGGGAGACTGGGGTTCATCCTGTTGACGACCGCCCCAGACCATTGCGAATATAGTATGGTATGGTCAGTGATCACTTATGTAGTTGTTTTGAACAAAACAATGCTTATTTGCGTGCCAGATGAGGGGAAAGAAATTAAGTCAAAGGAGGTATATAATATGAAGAAAGTAAAGGAGAAGAATGAAAGAAAGCCGTGCGAGGGAGGAAACAAGTTATTATTAAAAGATTCTCATATTAACCGCACTCTACAGCCGAAGACACAGCCATAGCCGGGATATACAGCATTAGCTGTGGGATGGTTCCCTCCGAGTCCGAGGTATACCGTTGTTCTCCTCCGACTCGGGATCTGGAGTAGAAGCAATATACGGCATGATGTCTCAGGGCCGAGCTCAACATTTATTGTTCATTGTCAAGGCTTTTCGATCGAGCTTTAGCTCGTCTGGACCTTGTGCTTCATTGGGTTTCAACAAGCATTTTCGGTGATTTCGTGTTGTAATTGATCTTCATATGCCAATGCACCTGGTGATGCCCGTTCCGAAGAGGTCACATGATATCGGATGCAGCCGGGTGGCCGAGCGCCCTTACATAATCATCCATAGTTCCGAAGTCATGTGAACTGTCTAACCAAATAAGGAAAGGCGGTATCCGTGCCGACCTCGTCGTTCGGTCCAAGCCTGAGGATTCCGTCCACATCGCTGCCAATTGAACCTCTCGCTGTACTCAATTCCAACCCTACAAAATGGTTGTCTACTACCAGATCGCCGGCAAGAAGGTCGGCTCCCACGTCGTAAGTTTACACTACCCTAGAAACGCCATTGCGCGCTCTCCATCCCTTTCTCCTCGCGCTTCGTGCGGGTACTTGTGAAACATGAAAGTTGACCGTGTTCCCTCCACCCCTCAATAGCTCGCCATGGCCACCCTCGGCAGCATTTTCGCCGGTTCCTGGCTCGCCGTTGGCGGTGGTGAGAAGCCCAAGACTGCTCAGGGTCCTCCCATCAACGCCTCCTCCAAGGATGAGGAGAACTTCGTCCAGTATGTCCAACCCCATCGCAGAGAACCGAGAATCGTCAACCATCAATCGGATCTCGATATCAACCCCCGAGCATTTTACTGACTACATATCCTCACAGGAACTTCATGAAGGAGGTCGATGGCGGCGAGAAGAAGCCCGCCGCTGGTCACTAAACCACCCCTCGATACGGTTTATATTGATGGAGCGGTCGAACCTGAGCAGCTAGGATTCTGAATTCAAACAAACTGCCTCCGCTCTCGTGCCATTTTTAGCGCGCAATGACGTGTATCCGCCCTTCCGCAGCGATTTTGTCACCACGGGTTTTTCGAGAAGCTACACGGACTGATTTTGGGATGTCGGCGGATGAGGTTGATTAATCTGTACATAGGAGGCGTGTACGCTGCATAGAAAATTATCCTCTTGACACCGGCTTTTCAGGTCTGTTCTTTCCCTTGCCATTGAGCATGATCAATCAAGCGAGTGGTACGATTGCTTCAATGCAATTCCGCACCGGGTCGCTCGGAGTATGTACTTGACAAGAGCGCTCTATGGACTTTTACCCTGGCATGAATATTGCTCTCTGCAGCTGGGGCCAGCTTGCTTGTCTGGCCAGTGGGAGCGATTTAGCAAAGAGGGATCGTAGAGCAAAACGAGTAGATGTAGATCTAAGCAACATAGAATAAGCATGCTCTGAAACAACCCTAATAGTCACACGCGGCATCCATACACGATCGATGACCTTCCAATGAGTTAAGATCAAGTGGTAGTGCTCAATCTCGAAAAGCTTAACGGCTAACCCGAGGTCTCCAGGACCTCCGCCGCAACCCTCCTACCTACCACTTTACCCTCACAACAACTCTCCAAACAACCCCAATCAACAACCAGAAAACCCAAAATGAAACCCCTCCCCTTCCCATTCCCCCTGAACATTGGCACAGACATCGTCCATATCCCACGAATAACCCGCCTCCTCACCCGACCCAACTACCTTCCACGATTCACGCGCCGCATCCTTTGCGACCAAGAACAACACGACTTCCACACGCGCTTCAGCGAAGTCCTCAAAGCGCGCGCCGCATATCACCAGCAGCCTCCCCCGTGCCAGCGGACATAACACGCTGGCTGGCGGGGCGCTTCGCAGCGAAGGAGGCCGCGCGCAAAGCGGCGCCGTCTGGTGCGGCTTCGATTGGCTGGAAGGATGTCATGGTCCGGATACAGGAGGATGGAGGAAGTTTTGGAGAGGGTGTGAGTCGGAGACCTGAGATTGTTTATCTTGGGAATGCGCTGGACGGGGATGCGGGTGAAGGGAGGGTTGCGAAGTTGTCGATTTCGCATGATGGGGAGTATGTTGTGGCTACTGTTTTGGCTGCTGGGTGATTTTTAGGCTCATCAGGCTCTGCCCTGTTGATCGAATCTCATTGCAACTGTTGTGGCTGGTGCACTTCGTCTCTGGGACTGCAGCTGGCCCAACACCGGACGGCGAGCAGTCACTTGCCTGGTACGCATTCTGTCATGGTTCTAGTGTGCAACCACTGGGTAACTACTGGTGATTCATGCTCTTCTAGGGGAGTGGCTATGGAGAAAGTCAAGGCTTTGGCATGATTTGCCATCTGGTTCAATTGATCTGGCTCAATGCTTGCAATTGAGTCATACCGGTCGAGACACGTCCATAACTCGAATGACAGTGTAATTCACTGGAGGACGTCATGATTTATATCTGATATGAATGGACTATGTACGCTTGTGGTTAGTGATTGATACCTGGGTAGATGGCGGGGATGGCTGGAAGTAACATCTCATTGGGCTATATTAAACAAATAAGTTATGAAAGCAAATATCTAAGAGCCAATCAAGAAGTTGTATGTTGAAATATTCAGTATTATATTCATGAATATATGCACCCATTTATACAGTTATCAATTGGTGTCTCTTCCAAGTTACCCTACGCTATCAAGTGGCACAGAAATCCTTATCGTCTATCAACGTTAGACCTGACTCCCCGACTGCCCGAGTAGACGTAACCGGCGGATTTCATATTCCTCAGTAGAGCGTCCTAAAAAGGCAAATGTGAGTATAGAACGTGTTCACTGTTCAGCGCGGCTACATACTCCTATCTCTACCCATCTAACTCGTCTTTCACTTCGGATATTATGCTAACTAACCACGAGTCGCAGTGACATCCATAAAACATGCCGTTCTCGCATCATAGTCATTCGGGCCAATTCTGCCCTGGCCATGCCAAAAATTCTTTGGAAGATGTGATTCAAACTGCCATCAGCAAGAAGATGCAAGTCTTCTGTTTGACTGAACATATGCCCCGCCATAAAGAAGATTTCTACCCCGAGGAAGTGCGTAAGGAACACCCACTACAGAATCCCGAATTAACCAATCATCCAGGTCGAATCTGGCGACACAGAAGAAAGCCATGTAGAAAATGAAACCGCTTATTGGAAGGAAGCAGTCGCTCTCCGCGAGAAATACGCCTCCCAGATCAAAATCATCATCGGCTTCGAGATTGACTGGATCCGACCCGCCTCTAAAGATTTAATTGAACGCTCACTTTCACGGTTTCCCTTTGAATTCTTCATTGGCTCGGTTCACCACATGCACACCGTGCCCATCGACTATGACCGGCCTATGTACGAGGAGGCTCGAGAGAAAGCCGGCGGAACAGATGAGCGACTATTCGAGGACTACTTCGACGCACAGCTAGATATGTTGGTGCAGCTCAAACCACTCGTTGTGGGACATTTCGATTTGATTCGTCTGAAGAGCGATGACATGGAGCGCAGCTTTACTACTTGGCCTGGTGTCTGGAGTAAGATTCTACGGAACTTGGACTTTATTGCCTCGTATGGCGGTATGCTGGAGCTCAATTCGGCTGCACTGCGCAAGGGAATGACTGAACCATATCCTAAAGCGGAGATTTGCAAGGTAAGAACACAATATTTTGTTCTATATCTTACGACTAATTTGATGGTTTTAGGAATTTGTGGCGCGCAAGGGCCGCTTCTGTTTGTCTGACGACAGCCACGGCGTTGAACAGGTTGCTTTGAACTTCCGCCCTGTGCTTGATTTCTTGGATCGCGCTGGTATCTCAACCCTGCATTATCTACAACTGGAAGAGTCGGTGTCATCTCCTGTGCCCGATGCTCGGTTCCCTAAGACACAAATTGTGGAGATCTCAGTGGAGGACGTGAGAAAGTTGGCATTTTGGTCGTGATTTTTACAATATGTGCTGTATATTGATGGGGGTTTTGTACTACCATGCCCGGGTCAATGTCAGAGAACAGCTTCGGGGTTCTCGCGGGGATGTTTCCCCCGCCATTACCCCTCCGCGGGGCATTGAGGGAACAAATAGGATGATACCTTCCATAGCCTGGGCGAAAGGGCTCTTAGTGGTCTGATCTTGTTGTACATCATATCATAAAAGAGATTCTAACCACTCCAGGTTCCATGTGGCACTCATGAAACCCACGAATTCCCCCGTCTTATGCAGATCATATCCCTGTAGGTTGGTTGTAGTTTACGCCCTGGTATTACTTCCGAGCTATTTTCAGCTATTCCAGGCTGTTTCCAGCCGATTCCAAGCAAGCCAAGCAACCATTTCTGGAATTGATCCCAGTTTCAAAGGAGTTTTCGGAGTATTGTGCTCCTGAAACTTCAGAAGTTGCTATTGCCCAGATATATATACTGTAAATAAGAAAAACCAACCAATAATCAACCAATACATACCCAAACCAACAATGTCCAAAGAGGGAAGTTCATTACGTCGTGTCCCGCCCAGGCAAAAAAGTGGATAATCTGCCCCTCCCGAGCTTCCCCCCGTCTTCTTTTTTGTTTTCTTCTCTTCACATTTCTCATTCATCTACATATATCTATTACATCATGGGCGTTGAAAAGAAGACTCTGGTTCCGGGCAACGGTGTTGACTACCCTAAGAAGGGTGAGCACGTTGCCATCCACTACACCGGCTGCTTGTATGACGCCGCGAAGGCCGACAACCACTACATGGGCAACCTGTAAGCCAAATCACCATGTCACGCTGAGGCCACCCAAGCGCTAATATACCAACAGATTCGACACCTCCCACAAGCCCGGCCGTGGTCCCCTTGCCACCCCCATCGGCGTCGGTCGTCTCATCCGCGGTGCGTTTCAGTACATTATAACTGAGCCTTCTGTGAGATACACAGCTTCTTTCAGCTTACTAACTTGGTGAATAGGCTGGGATGAGGGTGTTCCCCAGATGTCCCTCGGCGAGAAGGCCATCCTGACCATCAGCCCGTGAGTTGCCGTTTTGAGCTTTTCTTTGCGCTTTTGCGCCGATCTACTGAATAATGTGCTAATCTTCGATTCTCGATAGTGACTACGGCTATGGCGACCGGTACGTACCAAACAACCAACCCCGATGCTGAATCAACAATCTATGATTTTCGCGATACTTCCAATCCCGCACAACTCCAACTTGCGCCTTACTTCTCCCTGTGAGATTTGTGCTGATATCAAATTATTTAGTGGCTTCCCCGGCCTCATCCCCGCCAACTCTAAGCTTGTCTTGTGAGTAACCCATCTATCCTTTTTGTTACTTCATGCTACGAAGCCACAAAGAACAACTAAACTAACTGTTCACAGCGAGGTCGAGCTCCTCAAGGTCGGCACCAAGAGCGTTTAAATCAACCGCTATTCCCGACTTTCTGGCCAGATATAAGATATGCAAATACCAAACGAGAAAAAAGAACCACTTGAATCATTATGCTCGTCTCGTATGGTCGACAGGCCATTTTGATAGCACAATCAAAGATTGCTCTATTCGCTGTCCATTGATTTGACTCGTTACCCAACGGAGAAAGTCAACTGGACTAGCACATGTCTGCCATCTGTTTCCTGTGTCCATGCACACACATTGTAGATGCTTTAGCCTAGCTTGCCTTCACGCCCACATCACCGCGCGATGCTATTGATATAATCAATCCCCTCGGCACGGTACGTGTCAGCCTCGATATAACTTTCATTCCGGGGTAAGCGGAGAACAAAGTTCGTGGCGCGGGACGAATACTTGGGCCATTTGGCAATATCAGACACTAGAAGGCAGTCAGCTTCCAGGCAATAGAATCTAGCCGCACGCATATGCTACTAACCACCGTGTCCATTGGGATCTAGGTCTGCCACAAATGATGTCCACATCCGCGCTGCCATCTGACCCAGTTCCAAGCGCGCAGGATCGGATCCCAGCGGTGTGATGGTTTGCACTGGATTTGCAAAGACAAAAGGGATCTTTAAACCAGATACAAGCGTCAGCTCATCGTGCAGACTAGAAACTTGCGTAGTATCCAAGACAAGGTGGATTACTACAGGATTACTACATACCTCTGCAAAATGCTGCACCCCAATCGTGGTTGAGCTATTCAACGCTGCCACATCCCATCTGTATGAGTATACATTGTCACGCCAGCTGGCCATCCGTTGTGCTAGCAAGCGCCGTGGCGCGACCATGGTCACATCCCCCGCCATGGACGCATAGCGCTTGTACATGAGTCCCAGCGAGGGCCAGGTGGTATTTCCCCAGCCATAGGGGCAGCCGATGGCGGGGATATTGGGGTAATAGGATAGTAGCTGGGTAGCTTGGGAACGGTCCAGAACCCAGCGCTTCGATGCTGTGGCACTCGCTTAGCACGTTACCATAATATGTGACGGTAAATATGATAGCAATATCACTTACAAGTCAATTGATTAATGCAGTCCTCATCGGTGTTTGTCCCTGTCGTCCCAAAACTGGTGCCCTCGTCGGTATTTGTCCCTATCAATATAGGTACCCGGGCCAATTTGCCTTGTCTGTAGCTGATTTGCGGATACTGGGCTATGAATGAGCCGTCGACGGTAGCAAACCATTCTAGACCCTCATTTGCAGTATTGTATAGGGTCGTGTAGGGTAGTTCACGGAGACATTGAAGAGTATTCGTTGAATTGGTGCATCTGGGGATAATACATCAGTGTCTGTGGATAAGACTTGTTTGACATTGACTTACCCGGCTCTCTCAACGATTCGGTTATACATTGGCTGGTGCCATTCTGTTCCGTTGTATGGGGGACCAACGGCATTTCCAGAATCCATGATTGCTAGTTGAGCTTAGTCTGGTGTTATATAAAATGGTAGGTGTGAACTATACCAGCTCTAAAAAGACCCTCGTTATCGCCGTTGTTGGTTACCAGATGAGCCCCGACACTGTATGCACCACTGTGTATTCGAGAATGAGCACTTGATATACCGAAAATATATTTCCACAGACTCACGCGGACTCGCCCCAGATAGTGATCTTGCTCGGATCACCACCGAACGCTTTGATATTTTTCTTCACCCAACGCATAGCTGTACGCTGGTCACGCAGTGCTAGATTGGTGTTTCCTTCGGCCTGAAGTGAAAGTTAATATCGAGAATCTGCCACATCCAAGTCTGTATATGGTAGTCTTACCCTTACTTCCTCCGAGTCAAGGAATCCGAATGCCGCCAGGCGGTAGTTGATAGAAACACCCAGGACTGGCTTGCCATTTAATGCGCTCTGTTCAACAATATAGCTCATATTATACCTGTGGACAGTGTGGCATAAGGTTAGCCACAACCATCGCGCACTCCCGAGTATGTCCTTAACCAACATACCTTGGATCCGCAGTAGCGCCCTGTGCCCACCCGCCACCGAAAATCCAGATCATAACTGGAAGCAATTCATCATTCTTGTCTGCATTGGGTCGTATTATGTTCAAGTTAAAGCAGTCTTCATTCAAAGTGATCAGGCCGTTGTTAACCATGTTGGTGGTATCAGAGCCATACGCAGGACAGTCATAGCCGTACTTCGTAGCATTGTAGTATACCGACTTGGAAGTAGTGCTGAGCCCTGATTGAGCTAGATTATAAGTCCCAGAATTACTATCCTCAGATGCATAGGCGCTCTTGAGCTCGACTGGTGTGAAGCGGATTGGCTCATCGGCATACTTGATGCCTAGGAAGAGGTCCTGGTTGAACTCTGGAAGAGAACGACCCACAAAGATTGTCTTTGGGCTTTCGTTGCTTGTTGATAGGGTTGCTGTTGGGGGATTTGCTGTAGTCCCTGTTATTTTGGATGAGAGGGGTTTGGCTATTGCCCCACATATTATAGAGAAGAACGAGGTGGAAAGGAGCATGGAAGTGCTTGTTATCGACCGCATCTTCGAAGTTTTAGAGCTCAAGCTGGGTGAGTCGAAAGGCAGGGGTTAATCCACTCTTATATAGTTCGTTTTCTACCAACTCTATAAAATTGACCCTCCAGGCCGTGGAGAATTCAACATCATCTTGTCCGGGAAATTGGAGTTTGATTGAAGTCACCCCACTATGGGCAATTTGTTTATCATTGGGGATGAGCTGTGATATTTGGTGCAAGGCGTGCTCATAGGTGGGAAAATAAAGGATAAACCTCGGGCCAAGTGAGGAGGGAAGGTAATTAATCTCTTTAGCGTCTGAACTATACTCTTATAGAAGTAGTCTGAAGGAAGATTTCTGCAATGCTACGGTAAAATAAAACTAAAAGAAGCTCGACGCATATCACTAAGCAAGTAGTCTATTTAGAATGAAAAAAGTGTTTCAGATATTGTACAACCAATATCCCAAGGAGATGAGATGATAAGGGACATGTCTCCATTCAGTCCAAAGCAACACCAATCCGTCACACAACAGCCTGACTAATTGAGAACATTGGCTGAATATTCAATTGGGTCAATGAGCTGGATGCAAATGGCAAGGGAAAGTCTAATATCCTGTTCTATCTAAACTTCTCATACACACGATGCTCCAATGCCAAATATTGATATAGCATGACATTTGAAAATGGCACCCCCCCAAAGTGGGAACAAAAAGTACCAAGCCGCTCAGGGAAAAGGAAAATGTGGAAGAAAAGAAATGCAAGTAACTTGAACTCCGAGGAATACACAAACGCGGAGACTCTTATTATGTACGCTTGGAAATTCAAACACGTTAATCGTCCTTAACTCGCTCGCCATATGCGGATGAACCGGAGCCCAATCCAAATCCAGTCGCACGAGACCTGCTCGCTGCCACCGCCGAAGGGCTATTGTATCGATTAGATGAGGATGAGGATGATGTGGTCTGCAACTCAGACCTCCGCGATGCACCCTTGAGCGGACTGGGGGAATTCCGGCCATCCACCATCCCATCATCAAGCTCAATTAGATCGTCCATCCGCCACATATTGCGACCCCTGCTGCTACCCTGCTGGGTGGATGGTCCCTGCTGCAGCTCATTGATGCCGGCCTTAGCGCGCGTTGCTACCTTTCGAACCCACCCTTCAAAAGCCCCGCCAATGTTCTCAAGGCCAGTCGATACATTGGATGGGACAGTGGATGTGGAGTCAAAAGAAGTTGCCCGGGAATTTTCTGGGGGTTGTGCCGGTGCGAGATTTGGCATGTGCTGTGCGAAGAATCGGGTGAACCCATCTAATGCAGGCCCTGGACCAGTCGAGGTGGGGTCAAGGGTTCCCACCCCAGTGGCAGACAGGTGGATACTACTGCGCTGGCGGCGATGTTGAGGACGAGTGGGGTGTGTGGGTCTGGGTTTGGGCTGGTCGCCATTCGGTCGAGTTCTTGGTAGTATACCAAAGGACGAAGGGGGAGGTGGTGACCCGGTAGGAGACGGAGGAGTGACTGTTTCTCGGTAAAGATCGGGAGGTTCTGCATCCGAATAAGATATAGATTTTCGACGTGTACGCGGAAAGAATCCCAATGCTCTCCGAGGAACACGGCCAATTTGCACTGGTCCGGGAAACCCATCCATGTGTACCCACGATTCATGCTTCCAAGCATGATTACCATCGGCCCCAGACGCGGTTACGGGCGTACCCTGTTCAGCTGAGGTATCATCGATAGAGGCAGCCGTGGGAGCTATCGAGCTGTCGCTGGGGTCTTCGTCATTGTCACTCAAAAGGTCAACAGGCGCTCTGGGAACAGGCCGGCCTTTCACAGAGCACGCATCGACTGGTAAGAGAACAGTGTTTCTGCTCTGAATGTTGTCATTGGGCCAGAAACCATTCGCCTTCCGAAACACTGCAGGGTGGCAGCCATATTTGATCGTCACGCCAGTGATGGTATCTGTGGGTTGCACTTTGTGGATATAGGCCAGAGCGTCTTCATCGTGCTCCGGCTCAAACGCTTGATATGAAATGTCGCCAGAGTCGCGTCTTTTGTGAGGGAGCGCACGGCTTGCGATCGGGTCACTATCAGCGAGGAGCAGCGCTTCTCTCTTTTTGGCCTGCACCAAAGCCTGTCGCTCCTCCTTTGTCCCGGTTCCGAACTGCGGAGCGGTCGGTACCGATGGACCCCAGGTCGACCTGGGGGCACTCTTGATATATACGTCAGACCGAGAGGGTTTCCTTCGCGTGTGTGTCTTTGGCACATTATTCGGAGTGGCTTTCCCGGCATCACTCCCGAGTACCGAAGATGCCAGGCTTTGAAGAGAGGACCACGAGGAGTCCAGAAAGTCCGCAGCACCTCCCGACGATGAGGCCTTTGATGACCCGCTCCAAGGGAACGATGTTGGCCCACTGCGAGTACCACGGTTGATCGATTCGGTCGCGCGTGGTAGGTGCTTTATTGGAAGTGGTGACGCTCCACGGGATGACAATGGCGAGGGAGTCGCTCCGCGGGACCGAGTCGTTCCACCCTCGGAGGGCGCAAGCGTCGTTGACAACCCCGAGGAAAAGGGCTGGGCATCGTCTTGGTAGGAGTAGTTCGTAACATTATTGCTGTCGTCTTCGTCGTCCATGAATGGAACTAAGCGGCGAGGACGCGATCGAACCGTAGAGGTTGAAGTTGTGCTTGCGCTGAGTGTGTTGGAGCTTGGGGAAGCATTGACAAAGCTATTTTGAGAACTCATTCCTGTGAATCCAGCAAATGGGTCTAAAGATGCAAAATAAAAGCCCCCTTAGAAGTGTGTACCGCCAAGGCACCAGTTGCCATCAGAGTTGATCTAGGAGAAACCCATTCGTCATCCAACCCCGGACTCGCATTCGTGGCCTTTTGACTAGGATCACGACGGGATACGTTCGATCATGTATTCAGGTATTCATCCAAAATATAAAGCAAAGAGTTCCAACAAAAAACAAACCCTTTGGAAAGTATGGAAAACAAGAGAGTGAGGTGAGGGAGGGTAGACGATAGGAGGCCAAGGAGGCGTGACGATAACGACCCGCACCTTTTGAACGTGGAGTAATTAAAGAGCAGGATAAATTGTTCACAAGAATTACAATAATTAGAATAATTAGAAGAATGAAGAGACAGGATTGGTTGTCCCTTTTTTTTATTCGTCTGTACAGATAGAGTATAGAGAGTCTAAGGAACTACTTAGGTAGAATGTAGCAAGTTCTGGTGACAGGTGACTTCGCCGCTCGGCAAAGTAGCGGTACATGACGTTACCCGGTGAAGGCCACCTATTCATGTGTACCCGGTACTTTGTCGGCCCCGAGAATATCTGCTTTCTCCACATATAAATTGTGATCAACTAGGAACAATATATAAGATCACAGTAAGATCACAGTACGATCACAATTAGAGAGCAAGATTTGTATTAGATTGTTGTATCCGAACCCACTGTACATATGACATCCGAAATTCTATCAACAAGCCGGCCATACTAGAACAAAAGATCCATAAATCAAAGACAAGATAGCCATTCACTAATCCAGAGTCTGGCGTTTCCAGTAGATTACGCCAAGTCTTCGCGCTGCGGGACAAGGGGAGAATAAATATCAACAAGGTGGCCGAAAGTACCTCACATTCACTCTGGCGGCTCAGCCATCACAGAGTGTCGAGTCTCAGCTTCTGATGTGGCTTCAGATGCAGTACTCCAGTCTCCGTCTTCCTTCTCGGAGACTTTGTCGGTTGGCGTGGATGATGAAGGAGGCTGAGGGATGACCTTGATACCACCGGCGCGAGAGAAGAAATCTTCCGTGCGAAGACCACGAACTTCTTGGGGATCCATCGCATCCATTTGCATTCCGCTAGCCTTTTTCGCTCGAATAAGCTCTCGCACAGGAACCATCGCCGCATCTCGGCATGCTTCCTTGATATCGCTACCAGACATACCAGCCATAGTCTTGACCAGATAGTGTAAATCGAAATTATCGCGATCAACTTTCGTGTCTTTGAGAATCAGGCTGAGAATGCGAAGGCGCTGGGCAATCGGAGGAAGGGTTACGGGGAACTTCTTGGGCATTCTTCGAAGAATGGCCTCGTCAATGTCTTGCATGCGGTTGGTTGCTCCTAGGACAACAATCCGCTGGGGCTCTCCCGTCGAATTTGCCGATGTAAGACCATCCCAATGGGTCATAAACTCGGCCTTCACCATACCACTTGCCTCATGCTCACCACTTCGCCGGGTTCCAAGAACAGCATCAATTTCATCAATGAAGACGATCGCAGGTTGTAATTTGCGCGCAAGTGAGAACACTGCATTGACCAATTTATTGGAGTCGCCGTACCACTTCTCTGTCAATGTTGAGATGTGCAAGTTGATGAAGCATGCTCCACTCTCTGAGGCCAGAGCTTTGGCAAGCATGGTCTTTCCACAGCCAGGCGGACCATATAAGAGGACCCCGGAAGGCGCGGTCAACAAAGACGACGTGGAAGCGTAGAGATGAGGCATCGTCAGTGGGTAAATGACTGATTCCTTCAATTCCTCGATGATTTCATCAAGTCCGCCGATATCTTCAAATGACACTGGGATATCTTCTGGCGCAACAACATCCATCGCAATCGCTTGTTCATATTGGTTCAAGGTGAGCTCTCTCTTTCGTTGCCCTTTCTCCCGTTTGCCACCTTTCCGCGGTGTGTCATCATCGGATTCATTCCCACCTTCCAATCGGCGTATGATGGCGGCAGACTTCTGTCGTTGTTCCTCCTTCTTCTGGCTCTCTGGGTCGAAATCAAGGCGTGATAGAAGGTAGCGAATAAGGAAATATGCGGACGCAGACTATAATAGTGTTAGAAGCATTCAGTCCTATCTGAAATAGGAACGGTCTCACAGTGCCTGCAACCATCAGCATTTCTTGGAAGAACTGCTGCCATCTTCGGCCACCGGCTGAAGCCATGGCGATAAGGAAATAATTAGATAGAGCGCGATGATGGCGCAAATAAGGACCTCTAAGTAAAAGAAGAAGAAAAAAAATTCAAGACGAACAAAAGTTAATTCCAGTTCATCAGGATCAAGACAAGACAACCGAGTCGCCGAAGATCATTTGGGCAGCTTGTGGCGCGGGACTCGGGGGGGATGCCAGTCACATGTCGTAAGGCGGAGAAGGCGGTGTTCGGGGTGCCCAGGTGTTGTTGTCGGTGCGCGTCCCGCGAGTATGCAATTGTCATCAAACAATTATATTTAGATACACCTGCACAATGCCCAAACGGAAAGCTCCTCCCAAACTTTCTGGTCTATTGGGCTCAGATGATGAAGACATCATGCAAGTTGAAGCGACCGAAACACAAGAAACTCACGAGCCTCCCGCCAAAAGACGGAGAGGCAGACCGCGTACCTCAAACGAGAATGTGACCGAGACCAAACCTGCCAAACCTGCTACTCGAACAAGAAAGCAGCAAGCAGCTGTAGCTACAGCTGACGCTGAACCCCCTACAAACAAAAAGACCACCCGCCGAGGACGACCCACAGGAAACAGCCGCACAGCGCAAGACGCTGAAACATCTGCACAGGCAACCGAGACGGAGGCTATGGTATCAGAGCAGGAGGATACAGACAACCAGGAGAATGAAGACCCGCGTGTCTCAAGGAACACAAAGAAGCTGCCGCCCAAGGCCGCGAAAGCTGCCGCAGCGCGCAGTCGAGGACGACCTCGTGGAGTCAGCACACAACTCCACACAGATGGTGAATTTCAGTTTACCCCAAGTGGTTCTCGGCACGTTAGTTTCCAGGCTCCCCACACAGAACAAGTCGAGACGAGCCCTCTTGCTCGTGCCGCGAGCCTGGGAGGAAAGGAACCTGAAGTTGAAGATTCTCAACAGAACGAGCAACCTGCAGCAGAGCTTGTAGATGAGACTATCATTCACGAGGAACCGGCCTATAATCGCAAATCGATGTCCCCCGTGAAGAACGCTCGCTCTCGGCTATCCATATTACGCAACTCGCAAGATCCCTCTCCTCGTAAACGCAAGCTTGGGGGCACCGACTCCGAGCAGGGGGGAGATCCAGAGTTGAGACGCAGGCTGGGTGAACTGACCAAGAAGCATGATGCTTTGGAGAGTAAATATCGCAATCTACGGGAAATCGGGATTGTCGAAGCCAACACCAACATGGAGAAACTGCGAAAGCAAAGTGAGACTGTTACTAAAGGTATGCTCTTCTGTTGTATTATAGCCGGTAGGGTATATGAATTGATACTTTCTCAGCATCGAATGAATTGATCGCTTCGCTCAAGGCCGAAATTGATACTCAGCGAAAGCTAGGACTGCAAACCCGTGGACTCCAGAAGCAACTCAAAGACCGTGACGATGAATTGGCTCGACTCAAATCTAGCGCCGATGAGGCCCAAGAACAACTTGCATCTGCCCAGTCTGAAGTCAAAGCCTTACAGACCAAGCTTGCTGCGGCGCGGAACACAGCTGCCAGTCTCGAGGGGGCAGCAAAGGTCCCTGGCAGTGCCATCAAGGGCGGCGCCGCCAACCGGGCTAACGCAGCTGCAACTGCCGAGGCGGCACAGGCTTCCCAGCTCGCCCAATTAAAAGAAGATTTATACAGCGATTTAACAGGACTGATCGTTCGTGATGTCAAGAACAGAGAGTCAGATTATCTATACGATTGTATCCAGACTGGAATCAACGGAAGTAAGTCGTTCAATTTCCAAGTACTTGAGGGCACTTTTTTAACCTCCTTGCAGCCCTTCACTTCCATCTTGTTGTGCCAAAGGCCTCGGGTGATTACGACAAAACTGAGTTCCAATACCTGCCTCACTTGGACCCTAATCGCGATCGCGATCTGGTCAACTTACTGCCAGACTTTTTGACCGTAGACATCACCTTCGTCCGCGGACAAGCAGCTAAGTTTTATACGCGAGTCATTGATGCCCTCACAAAGCGGCGGTCTCTTCCGGCGCAATAGCGATGCTGTTGCTAAATGTCAGCCTTCGGTGTTTTTTATTTTATTTTTATGAGTCTGTTCATTTTCATGGAGTTTGTTTGGGACTAGGGATGCCGTATTGTTTCAATCATCAATAACATCAGTGTTAATAACTCCAACTTCCAAGATTGTTAATTAATGCCTTGTGTTCTTGTATGCCTACATTGTACGTAGGAAACGTCAGCTAGTGGGCCCTTAGTGAAACATGCTTCGCAAGGTCCTCTAACAAATTGCAAGGCGCTTCGATTACTCGCCTCGCTGCTACTTATATTCTCGAGAGTATCATTTCATAGGCCACTAGATTAACACTCGGGTTTGAATTGAGCTGTTCACCGGCGAGATACTACTTGATATGCCCTTTATCAAACCCCCACACCTACTATATACGCGTTACATATCTTTCTACACCACTATATTCGATAGCTTCATGCCAATATACATTTTTCCAGCTTGACAAATACCGCACAAAGCTTCGATTGGGAATTAAATGCCAATTGGAAAATATCACCCGTGGACTATTTTGAATGTAAAGTAAACATAAGGAGGCCTGTGATTGGCTCTCACCGCCAAGTTCCCCAATGCGTCCCAAAAGTTGACGGGTTGACGTGTTGTGTCTTTGACCTTCATGTCTCCTTTTTTTTAATTTCCCTACTTCTTCTTGTGGCAGTGGACCACTTCCATTCTTTTAACACTTGAGTATCTACGAGACATAGATCATGGCGCGTCTCGGCCGTGTTGGGTTTCTTGCCCTCGCAGTGGTCTTCCACTTGATCTATACATACTCAATCTTTGATATCTACTTCGTCAGTCCAATTGTTAGTGGAATGCGATCATATGGTGTCGAGCGACCATCCGAAGCACCCGCACCTGCGAAACGTCTCGTCCTCTTTGTCGCCGACGGCCTGCGGGCCGACAAGGCCTTCCAGGCTTTCCCTGACCCATCCCCCGACGCCGATCCGAAAAACAACGAATTGATTCGCCTGTCCCCCTTTATCCGCTCGAAAGTCCTCTCCCACGGAACATTCGGTGTCTCGCACACCCGCGTCCCCACCGAATCACGACCAGGCCATGTTGCGCTTATCGCAGGTCTCTATGAGGATGTGTCCTCAGTCACCACGGGGTGGAAGATGAACCCGGTGAACTTTGACAGTGTGTTCAACCAGAGTCGACACACTTGGAGTTGGGGCAGCCCAGATATCCTGCCAATGTTCAAGGAGGGCGCCGTGCCGGGCAGGGTCGATGCGGAGATGTATAGCGAAGAAGCGGAAGACTTCACTGTGGATGCGACGCATCTGGATACTTGGGTCTTTTCCAAGGTCCATGAACTCTTCGAATCGGCAAAGACCGACCCGGAATTGGACCGAAAACTGCGGGACGACAAATTGGTGTTCTTCCTCCACCTGCTTGGACTGGATACCACTGGCCACTCTTTCCGGCCCTACTCGAACGAATACCTACACAACATCAAGGTGGTGGATGAAGGAGTCCAGGCCGTTGCAAAGTTAGTAGAAGATTTCTACGGAGATGATAAAACGGCGTTCGTGTTCACCGCAGACCATGGCATGAGTGACACAGGGAGCCATGGTGACGGTCACCCGGATAACACACGGACACCGTTGGTCGTCTGGGGATCTGGCGTCGCGAAGCCCCAGCTCTCCGCTACCGGAATTGCCGCAGGTCACGAAGATGGTTTCTCGGCGGATTGGGGATTCGACCAGGTCCGTCGACACGATGTAGCACAGGCCGATGTTGCCGCGCTCATGGCCTATCTGGTCGGACTTGACTTCCCTGTCAACTCCGTTGGTCAATTGCCGCTGGACTATCTGGATGCGAGCCCCAAGGAAAAGGCGCTGGCCGCTCTCGCCAACACACAGGCGGTTCTGGAGATGTACCACGTCAAAGAAGATCAAAAGAGAGACGCGGTGATCCGGTATGTGCCTTATGAGCCTCTATCGGGCTACCATGAGAATTCGATTGAAGGAAGACTGGCAAGGATTGAGGCACTCATCTCCAATGATGATTACGAGGAGGCTATTGTGGTCTCTGTCGAGCTTCTTCGTGTTGCTCTGGAGGGTCTGCGCTACCTACAAACCTATGACTGGCTATTCTTGCGGACCATTGTCTCTATTGGATACCTGGGTTGGATTGCGTATGCGCTGACCACGGTTATTGATCTGCACGTCTTGCATGGGACATCAGACTCCCACCGGACGACGGCGAGTATCTCATTCTTCTCGTCGATTCTGGTCGCCTTGTTCTCGGTGTTCCTCTACCAGGGCTCATCCTGGCGCTACTACTTCTATGCATTCTTCCCGGTTTATTTCTGGGAAGAGGTTTTCGCACGCCGTAAGGCTCTGATTGCCGGGCGTCAGATTGTACTAGGCCACGTGCGCTCTTTCACTGGATACCTCAAGTTTGGACTCCAGCTACTGGCATTCCTCGGTGTGATGGAGGCGATGGTACAATCGTATTTCCATCGCGAAATCTTCACCGTCTGCTTTGCCTTGGGTGCGTTATGGCCTGTTATCCATGGCTTTACCTTTATTCGCAGCCATGTGTTATTGTCTGCGACTTGGGCTCTTGGTTGTGGTTTGATGAGTTCGTTCACTCTTCTCCCAGTAATCAAGGTTGAAAACCTTGATACAATGTAAGTTTCCTTTCTACGACAACTATCTTCATGTGGTTAATTTGTATGCAGCACATATGGCGGTTTGCTCATGTTCTTCACTGGCATCTTGTATTTGCTGTTTGAGGATGCTATCATCGGATATCGTGACCCAGAATCCAAAGAACCAAATGCTATCGGTCGTGTCGGCTCGCGGATCATCATGGGAATTCAGCTTGGCATGGTTCTGCTTGCTGTCATTGTCACTAGATCATCCGTTCTCTCTCTCCAGGCCCGCCAAGGCCTGCCTTTTGGAAATATTGTAGTCGGATGGGTTGTGCTAGGTATGTTCACACAGCTGTGTGCCCTAGGACCACGAAATGCATGTTCACCGAGAAATGCTAACCAAATTCCAGTGGCTTCCCTGACGCTTCCATTCTTCCATCGTCTGTATCCGAATAGCCACTATCTGCACCGGCTCATGATCATCTTCTTAACCTTCTCGCCAACATTTATCATTCTCACAATCTCGTGGGAAGGCCTGTTCTACTTTGTATTCTGCATGACCATTGTGACATGGGTTCGCCTGGAACATGCCATTTACGTCCATACGGCAGGTACCTTGGAGAAACCCAAGAATCCTGGGGTGACGACCGTCGACGGTGAAACTTTCTACTACCGCGCCCTTACTCTCTCTGATGTCCGCGTGGCACTGTTCTTCTTTTTCCTCCTACAATCGGCTTTCTTCAGCACTGGAAATGTGGCTTCGATTTCGACCTTTTCCCTTGACAGCGTTCGCCGCCTTATCCCCGTATTCGACCCCTTCGCCCAAGGCGCGCTCTTGATTCTTCAAATCCTTATCCCCTTCGCGATTATCAGTGCCAACCTAGGTATTCTTAACCGCCGCCTGGAGGTACCCCCCAGCGCACTCTTCATGGTTGTTATGGCAATCTCAGACATCATGACCCTCAACTTCTTCTTCATGGTGCGCGATGAGGGCTCGTGGCTCGACATTGGCATGACCATCAGCCATTTCTGTATTGCAAGCGCCCTCTGCACCTTCGTGGCCGGTCTCGAGTTCCTCAGCGAGCAATTTGTCAGCGGTGTGGACTTTGCTCCCACTGTGACAGCCGTTGGGGCTGCCGTGGTCCAAACCCTCGAAGAAGTTACAGAGTGTGGCCACGAGGACCGCAAGGAGTCTAAGAAATCCCAGTCCAATGGGACCAAACAGTCCAAATCCAAGTCCAAGGGTAAGGGCAAGGGCAAATCAGGAAAGAACGGGTGGTCATAGTTGGGATATGAAACTAGTATAATGCACACAGGGATCCCTGCCCATGACCTCACTTGCATAGGGGCTATATTCATATTTAATTAATCTTTTCCATGTATTTTTTTTAAAATGATCCAGCTGACTATAAATGGCATTAATTTTGAGACCTCTTTTAGATTTGATTTATATTACTATTTCACTTTCCAGCATAAACCGTCCCACGGACTTTTATTTACTCCCGATCCGCAATCCTACAAATGTGTGATACCAAGGCACAACGGTTTGACCCGGGATCTCCGGCGAACGGGCCTAATAAAAGAAAAGAAGAAAAAGAAAAGAAAAAAAAAACCACCTAGTGCCTGAGAATATGTTCTTTAGGTCCTTTAGCAACGAGTCAGAAGGAGGCGCACATGTTCAACGGAAATAGACCCAGGGGGCACTCTCATTGGTCGAAGCTCAAAAGTTACCGAGGCATCACAAGCTGGCGCTCATTCCAGGTTTTCCCCAAACTCCATCACTGAAGGATCTATATCGATGATATGGAGTAGCTCATTGAGATTTCCCCCCAACTTTTCCCCTGATAATTTTCGTCCCCGTGTTTTATGTTCTCCCCCGCAATTCTACCGTTTGTCTTTGATGTTGAGTTTGAGGGTATCAGTTATGATCTACAGCTATACACACGGAGTGAGTACGGAGTACCTTTTAACTTAATATGTCTGAAACAGTTTGAGCACTAGCACATGTCATGAAAAAAAAAATAAACCTCCCAAGTTTACTAGTTTACTAGTTTGCCCTAGAAAAAAAACCCTATACACGTATACATTAAGCAGTGGCCAGTGGGCAGTAGCAGGTCACACAGCATATACATCCGCACATCCCGCTAATATGGCCCGTGACCGAGTATTGTCGAGTTCAGTCCCGAGAGAAATCCTCGATATGAAAGTATACGCCAATTCCCTCCACACCTCCGCATCCTCCGCATCCTCCCGCGTGGCGGTAGGCTCTGGCCGTGGTCTTTTTTTTTTTATTGAAGGCGTGAAGCTAATGCAGGATCTAGGGACCTTTCACGTCATGACCAAATGGCCAACTACCCAAAAAAACCAATCT